TCTTTTACACCTCTAAAGAGAAAAGGAGAGATTTTGTCACGGTGACAAAAGCCGCCGTTTCTCACAAGAAATCGGGTGTCGTTATATTGTGTTTAATGTTGTCAAAAGTTAGCTGGAATTTAATGCTAGAAATAGTGCAGCATTAAAATTAAAACATGTCAGCTAAGCCTAAAGTTGAAAATTTTAAGCTTTTAATGGTAGTTCAATTTCTATATTGTTTTTGGATCATAAGTAATCGCAATAAGGATCGCAACTGCACCACTGCCTAGCAAAGGATTAAGCATTTAGTTATAAATGTTAGTACAATACATAACAACAAATTTTGTGTCTTTTTATACTTGGAATAAAGATACAAGCCAAAAATAAAATATAAATAATATAAATAAATATAAATAAGTTAACAATAATTTTAATTTCATTACGGCCGTCAGTATAATTATTAATGAAAGTACAGCAATTTATACTAATTTTAATAATCGGTATAATATTTAAATGTGCAACAGTTTACAACAATATTTTTACACAAATCTTTATTTTATTGTCAATTATTCTTCAAGTGACACAGATTTTAAAACATTATAATTTTATAATTCAACAAAAATAATAATCAAAACCTTGGTAATATAAAAATTAATTTAACAAAATATGTAGCAATTTAATCAAACATTACCGAATAAAAAAGGTATAACACATAAAAATCACTTTTTGCGGTTTTCGAAAAACAAAAAACAGACCAAAACAATTAAAATTTTCCCTTATATACAGAACACCTAACACGTACCTATCATGAACTAGAAACAACATCGAATATCCTATGTAGAGAACGAGTTATATTACATAAGTGTAAGCATCTCCGAAACACGACCTAAAAGCGAGAGTCATAGAGGTTATTATACAAAACAAGCGCATTCCTTTGCAAATCATATTGAGCATATATTTGACATTACACTTCAAAAATATTTATGACGGAATTTGTGACAGTGTGTGTTTAAAACTATTTTATTATTTATGCTGCTACTTATTATGCACCAGAAAATTCATTCTATTAAGGCTAACACCGTTTAAAACTTCGCACACACACGGATCGTTTCATCCACGAAGACGCGCCCCACCAATTTTTGGTCGAGGGAAGCGCGGTGTGCGGGGAGTTTGATCCGAGCAATCCGAGCTTCATTATTTTAGTGTGCGTGTGCACTCATGGATAATTTAGCGTGTACCGATAACACTCGAACATTCGAATGGTGGGGCGCGTCTTCGTGGATGAAACAATCTATATCTTAGGATCACTCAGCGGTTATTCACAGTTGCCCCCTTCAGTGTAGCCCCTACTGGGGGCAACTGGAAATTTACCAAAATGTCCCAGTCTCCCACACTAGGGAGAACGGTATTAAAAAACGACTATAGATAGTTTCGTCTACGAGGACGCGCCCCACTATTCTTCCGCAAATGTTTGAGTGTTATCGGTACACGCTAAATTATCCATGAGTGCACACGCACACTACAATAATGACGCTCGGATTGCTCGGATCAAACTCCCCGCACCCCGCGCGACCGAGACCAAACATTGGTGGGGCGCGTCTTCGTGGATGAAACGATGTATAGTAAAGACTTTATGATCTATTTCTACAATGCACCTTCTGAGGTAATTATTAAGGTTTACAATTAAATAATAAAGCCAATATGATTTGCAAAGAACGCATTGCTTTAACACGAATCAGCACCATTTAAATTAAAACATCATCAGATCCATTCGTCAACATTTCCTTGTCTTTTTGTCAATTGAAATAATGTTATTTAGCATTTCATTTGATAATCGCCATAGCATTGCATCTTGTCTTAAACTAAAAAAAATAGATTTAAGTAAGGATGTGTATACTTCTTATAAATATAAATTGATTGATTTAATTTGCTATGTTATGTATATCAAGCTATATTTTACTACCTTCATAACAACTGAAATAAGTAGTGCTTAGTGTTTTATTTTAATTTTTTTGTCTCTATTCACCACAGCCAAATCAACTTACGTTAGAAAGAGACAAAATAAAATTAATTGCCTAAAATTGCGTTAAATAGCACTGAATTTATCAATAATTTAATTTTGATCTCAATAAAAAATTAGTCTTTGCAACGCTATGGCGAAATTAGAAAAATAATAAGTTATTCCCACTGGGAATTATTAAATTTTGTTATTTGATGAGTACACTAGTAGCTAATTAGTAGTCTAATAATGCCACGAAGTTAATTTAGTAACAATTTCGTTATTAATATTGTGCAATATCAACATTCACGTGCTATACTCGCTGTGACCGTACCACGAATATTACTGTCAAAATGAAAAAAGGTGCACTCGCTTCATAAGGATTTTCCATGTAATGTAACAATGCAGGGTTCAATTTTGAGTTTTAATAAAACATTATTTTAAGTGAATGCTAACAGTTAGAGCGCACCTTAATGTCATAGTGGTTGTCTGAAATAATAATAATTGAAAAACTTCAATGCTTCTTCATAGGATAAGTATATCGAGTAAGTTTTTTGAGGCTTTTTAACTCTTACCTGTTGGTGGCTCGCTACAGTTTGTTTTTCAAAAGTTTTGACAGACATTACACTATCGTTATGTGAATGTACACGTACACACACAAGTAAAGCTCATTCGCCTTCATGAGTTGCAAGAATTTTGTGATACATAAGGCAGGACTACAGGCAACTGTGCAAATTTAAATAAATTATATTTTAACGTCAGTTACTATGTGTGCATATTCGTGGTACGGCGACAGTCCTCCCCGTATCTTATCAAATAATTGACGAGAAACGTCTTCCACTATAATTATCGAGAAATTAGTTAAAACAATAATACCATCCCGGAATATTATTAAATTTCATATTATTTTATTAATTTCAGTATTATAGCGTCTTTTTAAAAATGGTAACTTCTTCAAAATACTGCAAATTATCACAAACGTTTTTTTAGTAACAATTTTTTTTTATGTAGATGCACAGGTTTTAGCAAAGCAGAGATTATAGAAAGTATAATAAAACCTTTTTTGACAGTTTCTTTTCACTTTTTAATAATCGAGTGTTCATGTTTTTTTGTCTGTTTATTTATTTTTGGTGGGAACTATATTCCCACTGCCTTATAAAAATAAAGGAAGTTCAGAATCTAAAAATCTCCGCTTTGCTGAAATTGATTTCGAAAGTTAAAAAATGGAGCTACGTAGAACTACGTAAGTATTGTTAGGAATCGCGATGAAAACAAAACATTAGTAAAAAAAATAACACGTAAAAATCGAAACTATCCTTTTTCGTAATGGAAATATCTCACAGCCTCATTACTCTAACACTTTACACGTTTTTATTAAGGTGCTCGCACACTGGGAGCATTCGCGTGTATGTAACATCATAGATTCGACTATGAGCATTACAACACTGGGAGCATTCGCGTACGTAATGTAATATTATAGATTCGACTATGAGCATTACAATACTAGCTTACTGATTGACGAGCATTTGCATGTAATGTAACATTATTATAAACTCAACTTGGAGAATTACGTTACAAAACGAGCATTCGCATTGTTGATAGTATTAAGTTATAACAAGATATTACACATTGTATTATTACAAGGTGCATTGTAATGCTCGGTTTTCTTCCTTCACTGATGTATACTAGTTTTGTATCATTAAAAGGTGTGCGCTGTAATAGTCGGTTTTCCTCCTGATGATGTAATGCTTGAATCTGTAAGGTTACATTACACGCGAATGCTCACAGTGAGGGAGCACCTTTAAGAGAAAAATAACTAGTAAAACTCGGTATCTTAGTACTAGGGGTTAGTTTCAAAACCGTATTTTTTCTACGTAACAATTTGATAAATCGACTTCGTTTATTTTAAGCGGGCACTTAACGAGAGTATTTGACTATAATACCTTTAAAACTTCATATAGAATTATAGATAAGTATTGAGTGTTGTCTCTTTCACACCGATTTGTAAAACACAATGTCGATTTGCGAATCTTAGGTGCGTTTTAAAGACGTTCAAAACTCGACCCAATATCAAACATGATTAAGTTTCTTTTAGCCTACCTCTTTTCACAGGTCTGAATCACTGCTTGAGTTAGAATCACGTCTTGAGTTCTGTTTCATATACGAGCTTAAATTTTAAGTCAAATATTTTTAAACAGAGTCCTGTATATTAAGGTATTAAAATCAAATACTCCAATGTATTTCCCATTTTACATAATACATTTTGTTAGTAGTACCATACCCTACATTTCCTAGCACATAGCTCGTTATAGAGAGAGATCTTAAAAATCAATACTTCACTTTATCTGTCGAAAAAGAAATTACATTATTTTTTCTAGCTTAATCAACAATCAAATAAATGGTTGTTCTCTCAAATTGGTTGTTATAAAATCAATTACTATACTATACTCTCTAAAATTTCTTTCATCCGTCTAGTTCGTACGAAACGTTCAAAACTCGATTCAAGATGACAATTTTTTTTGTCCATTAGACAGATAATAAGAAAATACTGGACACGTATTTCGTCTTTTTTTTCATAATCGAATAATATAATTATCGAGTTGAAATTTCGCGTGACGTCACGTTTGTGTCGATTTTTACAGAATATTTACGTCAAACGGCATTTCAATTAGTAAAAAAAAAAGAAAAAATACGTATCTATTATTTTTTATTATCTGTGAGGGCACTAAATATAATTTCTATCATTACCGACTCACCACCCAAATTGAATCGAGTTTTCGAGTTGCTGTAATACGTTTTGTAGTTACAGTTAATAAATAACCAGTTACAATACATTATATTTTGTAATCTCTCTCAAGACAAGGCCTTAACATCAAGCAAAACTGTTCTTGCACAAAACGCCCTCTATCGGCCGATGGCATCAACTATCAATACCTAAAAATTCTTGCTAGGCGATTGTATACTTTCGTATTATTAAAACAAAGTATAATTTTAAATATTCGTTTTTATTCGCCTGAAGTTTGGATTTTTTATTTCAAGGAATTTTCAGCCGTTAGGGGGCGGTTCGGCCAACGCGTTTTTTACGTCCTAATATAAAGATTATTGACAATAAAGGCTATAATCGTGTAAAGCTCTAATGTAAGCGGGAAGCGATTCGTACACAACCACTAGCAGAGCACTTCGCACTGCGGGATTCGCTGAAAATGAAACATTTTGTTTAATTTTTAAAATAAAAATCTTCTACTTTCTAAAATTTATGGTGGATTAAAAGTGTGTGTGAAACAAACAGTGCAACATCACTTCAAGTTGTCATAAGATTTCCGCGTGAAGTCTTAGTAGTTTTTACAACTTTAACCCTGTAACGGATGTAATCTATGAAAATGTTTGGATCTTAAGACTTCTTTCCCTTGGGAAGAAGGGAATATGGTGGGAAATATTATAAAATCTTAAGTAAAAAGCAACTCGCGTCTACGTCAAGAACTACACTGTTTTTGGACTTCGAGACAAGAAAATAACAAAAAAATATGGCGGGAAATATTTTCCCACTTACAAAACTTAAGCGTAAAAGCAACTCATGTCTATGACAAGAACTGCACTGTTTTCGGACTTCGAGTTAAGGAAATAACAAAAAAAATGTGCGGGAAATATATTCCCACTTGCAAAATTTTAAGTAATGAGCAACTCACGTGTATGGCAAGATACAGTCACCATATCCTCGGCGCGGCGTCGTCGGCGAAGCCCGCCTCGCGCGCCTTCCAGTATTCACCAGTAAACACCCACGTCTCCTCGCCATTCTCCACGCGTTTACTGGACACATAAATATTAATAAAATAAATAGATATCCTTGAACATTTTACACTACGCTTCTATAGTCCGGTCGCCGAGCACGTAGAATTTCGTCCAATGACCCCAAGCTACCCATCCTTATCGCTCGCGTGTAAATATCATTGGACGAAATTCTACGTGCTTGGCGACCGGGTTTTAGTTCCAAACTAAGCAAAGCTTGTACTATGGGTACTAGACAACGGATAAACATACTTAAATACAATTATAATAAAATTTAAAATAACTATTGTAACTATGTATTTAATTGTGGTAAACCCACTTGCAACACAAGCATGCTTACCACGATGAGTTAACAGGACTTTTAGTAGTTTGTATTTATAAATTACTTATATTCTTATTGGTTCAAAAAGATTACGTTTTTATTTATTTATTTTTATGCACCAAAAACTTGTACAGTGGGCGTTATTAGTGCCAGAACAAATTCTTTCCCAAGCAGCCAACAAGAGTGGCAGAAATTATCATAATTTTTTTTTAATGATTTTTAATGAAATGATGAATTTTCATAATAGCATGAAAAGGGAGAGTAAATCGCTGGCTCTGTTCCGGCGAGCGCTTGAATTGTTCCGCCGTCTATCCGGCGAGCGCTTATATTGTTCCGCCGTCTAAGTCACTCCTGACGCTTGCCGTGTGCCCAAAGCCACAGAGCAGAGACTCACCGGAACCAAGCGGGCGTGTGCTCGGGCACGCCGCGGCGTCGTTCGCGCTGACTCTGTTCTAGCGAGTGCTTGTATTGTTCCGCCGCGTCTACGTCGCCTTCTTCCAACGCTCGCTGGTCTGGCCTGTATAAATACATATATTAGTATCAGATGTCTAATAAGGTAGTGCCTAACTGGGATTCTAGTCCACTTGCGCGAAGTCATAAGCGCAAAGAGCTATTTGCGCGCGGATAGGGGGCGTTCATTAATTGGTGTTAGAGATGTCTGATGTTGGCTTTTTTATTGTTTAGTCTCCTTTTACGGCATAAAGAGTGGGAGTTACATTACTCTACTCTGCATAGATACATGGATTGATACATTTGATGAAAATTTTAATAAGGTTTTATATTTGTCTGACGTGTTTTGTCGTTACACAGATCGGAATCGGTTTCATACATTATGTGACATGTCAGAAGTCAACACGCCACGACACAACACTCTAGTGTATGAAATCAATTCCGTTCTGATGTGTCAGATGACAGAACACGTCATTCAAAAAATTAATCAGACTTGATGCCGTTTCTTTTCTTTATTTTCTACTTCTTGATAGTAATATCATACCTGAGCCGGGTGTCAGTGTGGGGAAGCAACTGCCGCATACCAGGCTCCATTTCGTTGAGCTCCATCGCGAACCGCGTGAACCCGTAGTACAGCTCGTGTTCCGGCGGCATCGCGCCTGGAACATACGCGGCGAATTGGAACATTGACGGCGAATCGGAACATTTTCATCGAAGTGGATGGAACATGTTCGTCGAATTGGGGCGAATTGGAACATTGACGTCGAATTGGATCATTTTCGTCGAACCGGAACATTTTCGTTGAATCGGTACACACAAGTTGTATAGTTTACACGTCGAGCAGGAACATACGTTGAATAGGAACTCTATTTGTCGAATAGACACAATTTTCGTCAAGTAGGAACATACGACGAATTGGAAAATATTCGTCGAGACGGAACATATACGCCAAGGGAATATATTCTTCGAAGGAACATATTCGTCGAATACAATAGAAGTACAAATACATAAAATAGAAATTAATCCCTTATTTCACCCAATTTTTTTAGAGTCTCTTAACCAAATACAATAGATGTAAATATAATCATTATAGAGAAGCTTACCAGGCCTCCAAAGACACCGGGCTGCCGGTGGTTCACCGGCGTATAGGGCTTCTGACCACCTCCCTTGCAAGCGAAGCCGGGTGCCATTGCCAGTCACGCAACCGCGGACCTCGTGTCTGGTGCTGGACCAGGAACTAGCCTGGATAATGGATAAATATTAGTATGGTCCAAATTAGAATAAGTAAAACATAATGGCAGCACTTTGGAATGTTTCTAGGATGGATGACAGACAAGGATATGTCATATGTTATAAAAAACTTAAAAACAATCCGTGATTACTAACGACAGTTACTACTGCACTATTTTTTTTGTCCAACCGCACGAAACCATAACAACAAAGGAAACAATTACGCACGAGTGCGCAAACATACTTTAAATTCTTACCTCAAAGTGTTAGTGCCAAACAAAAGTCACACCCGTATTCACAAACATTACTATGAGGTCTCAAAGGGCACATGGACGCACAGGATCCCAAAAACCTATTCATAGATAATACTTAAGTGGCGGAGTGACACACTGGAACCGATCACAGAGCTCTATTCAACGCTATACGTTCGTCTTCGCATAGCGTTGCTGCTTTACTTAAGCAAGCATCGAATGTGAATACGGGTTTTAATATAGTTCCCAGGAGACACGATTTAATTTGGAAACTAAAGTCTGGTCGCTTAGCATGTAGAATTTTGTCCAATGACCCCAAGCTACCTAAACCTATACCTACGCAAGCGCGTAATTATATTGCTGTCGCGCTCGCACACTCACTGCGGGCGCCCGTCGCACAGTCGCGACAGCAATATAATTACGTGCGAGCGATAAGGACAGGCAGCTTGGTGCTATTGGACAAAATTCTACGTGCTCGGCGACCAGACTATACTAGTAATCTTAAGTTGTAATCTTTTTTTGTGAACAAGTTAATAATATTATTATTACTTACCTTGATAAAGTTGAGTTTACACGAGATGTCCGTGCCGTGGCAGGTTATATGCATGTCTCCGTACTGGTCCACCCAGCGCTGGCCTCCGAACAGATTGTGCACGCACGTCGTGACCTAATGAAAAGTATTTATTTAAACTTTAATGTCACACTATTGTAATTGGATAGGATCGTGTTCTTGCAGTGGAGACTAAGGCTAAGAACTCATGGCGCGATTTTCACCCGCGCCCGCAGCTTCTGTAGAATACAGATACTTATGTAAAAACTAATGCACAACTTACGGCGCGTTTGTAATCGGGTCCCGCTCGGCAGTTTTCGCCCGCGAGAAAACCACCCGATCGGCGGGCGACCATTTTGTACCAGTGACTTAGCACGCGGCGCGATTTAAAATCGCGCCGTGAGTTCTTAGAATAACCGCGCAAATAACCGCTCCTGTGAGTTTTGAAATAAAATCGCAATTCCACAACCGTCGCGGGCGCGGGTGAAAATCGCGCCGTGAGTTCTTAGCCTAAATGACCTGATGATGATAATAAGTTACGGACAGCAGATGACTTCTTGTCGCTACACTACTGGATTCATGAAATACCATCTATAGTTAGCGACACGTCGTCTGAAGGTAAAGAAAGACATAGAAACCACCTTGCAGCGACACGTTGCCTGTAGCTGTTGCGTGGAGTCTACCCGACTCATACTATAGACATTAATCAATAACTACACATTTAATCGATTCCAAGCGAGTTTAAAAGTAGTATACTAGTATAGTATATTGTATATTATGTCTTAAATACACGACCTCATAAAGGTAGCAGAAAAGCTCTGGATGCAGGCCACTTCGTTCGTTCGTTTCAGTAAATGACGTCCACTGCTGGACAAAAGCCTCCTCCAAGGATTTCCACAATGCACGGTCCTGCGCTGCCCGCATCCAGGCTCTTCCCGCGACCTTTACCAGATCGTCGGTCCACCTAGTAGGAGGCCTGCCCACTACCAACCAGCCAATCTGGAAATCATTGGGGGAGATGTTCAGCAGTGGACGCCCTGTGGCTGAAATGTTGATGATGATAAGTTTTAAATACCTTATTCCAGCTGTAGTGGTCGCCAGTAGTGATCAGACGCACGTGCACTCGGCCAGTCGGCTGGAACTCCATGGACTTGCCCCAGAACTTGGTCTCGATCCGTGCCTCCTGCCAGAAGCTGATTATTACCTTATTCCAGCTGTAGTGGTCTCCGGTAGTGATCAGTCGCACGTGCACGCGGCCAGTCGGCTGGAACTCCATGGACTTGCCCCAGAACTTGGTCTCGATCCGCGCCTCTTACCAGAAGTTGATTATTACCTTATTCCAGCTGTAGTGTCTCCAGTAGTGATCAGACGCACGTGCACGCGGCCAGTCGGCTGGAACTCCATGGACTTCCCCCAGAACTTGGTCTCGATCCGCGCCTCCTACCAGAAGTAGATTATTACCTTATTCCAGCTGTAGTGGTTTCCAGTTAGTGATCAGACGCACGTGCACTCGGCCAGTGGAACAGAATTCCATCCGCGCCTCCTGCCAGAAACTGATTATTACCTTATTCCAGCTGTAGTGGTCGCCAGTAGTGATCAGACGCACGTGCACTCGGCCAGTCGGCTGGAACTCCATGGACTTGCCCCAGAACTTGGTCTCGATCCGTGCCTCCTGCCAGAAGCTGATTATTACCTTATTCCAGCTGTAGTGGTCTCCGGTAGTGATCAGTCGCACGTGCACGCGGCCAGTCGGCTGGAACTCCATGGACTTGCCCCAGAACTTGGTCTCGATCCGCGCCTCTTACCAGAAGTTGATTATTACCTTATTCCAGCTGTAGTGTCTCCAGTAGTGATCAGACGCACGTGCACGCGGCCAGTCGGCTGGAACTCCATGGACTTCCCCCAGAACTTGGTCTCGATCCGCGCCTCCTACCAGAAGTAGATTATTACCTTATTCCAGCTGTAGTGGTTTCCAGTTAGTGATCAGACGCACGTGCACTCGGCCAGTGGAACAGAATTCCATCCGCGCCTCCTGCCAGAAACTGATTATTACCTTATTCCAGCTGTAGTGGTCGCCAGTAGTGATCAGACGCACGTGCACTCGGCCAGTCGGCTGGAACTCCATGGACTTGCCCCAGAACTTGGTCTCGATCCGTGCCTCCTGCCAGAAGCTGATTATTACCTTATTCCAGCTGTAGTGGTCTCCGGTAGTGATCAGACGCACGTGCACGCGGCCAGTCGGCTGGAACTCCATGGACTTGCCCCAGAACTTGGTCTCGATCCGCGCCTCCTGCCAGAAGCTGATTATTACCTTATTCCAGCTGTAGTGGTCTCCAGTAGTGATCAGACGCACGTGCACGCGGCCAGTCGGCTGGAACTCCATGGACTTGCCCCAGAACTTGGTCTCGATCCGCGCCTCTTACCAGAAGTTGATTATTACCTTATTCCAGCTGTAGTGTCTCCAGTAGTGATCAGACGCACGTGCACGCGGCCAGTCGGCTGGAACTCCATGGACTTCCCCCAGAACTTGGTCTCGATCCGCGCCTCCTACCAGAAGTAGATTATTACCTTATTCCAGCTGTAGTGGTTTCCAGTTAGTGATCAGACGCACGTGCACTCGGCCAGTGGAACAGAATTCCATCCGCGCCTCCTGCCAGAAACTGATTATTACCTTATTCCAGCTGTAGTGGTCTCCGGTAGTGATCAGACGCACGTGCACGCGGCCAGTCGGCTGGAACTCTATAGACTTGCCCCAGAACTTGGTCTCGATCCGCGCCTCTTACCAGAAGTTGATTATTACCTTATTCCAGCTGTAGTGGTCTCCGCTCGCACACTCACTGCGGGTGCCAGTCGCACAGTCGCGACAGCAATATAATTACGCGCGAGCGATAAGGATGGGTAGCTTGGGGTCATTGGACAAAATTCTACGTGCTCACGGACCAGGCTTTAGTCGAACTCCATGGACTTGCCCCAGAACTTGGTCTCGATCCGTGCCTTCTGCCAGAAGTTGATTACCTTATTCCAGCTGTAGTGGTCTCCGGTAGTGATCAGACGCACGTGCACGCGGCCAGTAGGTTGAAACTCCATGGACTTGCCCCAGAACTTGGTCTCGATCCACGCCTCCTGCCAGAAGCTGATTATTACCTTATTCCAGCTGTAGTGGTCTCCAGTAGTGATCAGAGATCAGACGCACGTGCACTCGGCCAGTCGGCTGGAACTCCATGGACTTGCCCCAGAACTTGGTCTCAATCCGCGCTTCCTGTCAGAAGCTGATTATTACCTTATTCCAGCTGTAGTGGTCGCCAGTAGTGATCAGACGCACGTGCACGCGGCCAGTAGGCTGGAACTCCATGGACTTGCCCCAGAACTTGGTCTTGATCCGCGCTTCCTGCCAGAAACACCACCGGGGAGACTCGGCGTGGCAGGCCGATATCGGCGGGTGGTGGGACACCTGGGCAATTCACCATAAGGTATTACAAATAAAAAATAAAACAGTTTATTCAGTACATAGGCCCTTTCCCACGTCCCAAATACACCACTACATTTTTATCACCGAAAAAAATTTAACAGGTTATGTAGAAACGTGTGAAAAATTTAAAGCAAAAGAAAAAGAAATGTTTTTCATAAAGTTAATTTTTTTTGTTAAATTTTCTTTATTCCGCATTTTACGCGTCACAGCTGGGTCACTCCGCTGCTCGCTAAAGTAGTCGTACGCGCTCGCATATTGCCCCGATCTGTCTGTCTCGCTCACGCCTCGACCACGCTTCCAGTGTTATTATTACATTACAGTAACTTAGCTAACTTCAAGTAATTTTGAGTTCTAATAAATGTTACATTATCTTACGTAAATAGTGCTAGCGACGCGTGTGCCCATAAATTACCAATTTTGGGATGAAATTTTGAGTAACTTTATTTAACTTTTTTTTTTGCATAAATAGGATCAATAACTCATTACCCAGAATTTTTTTTTTCGGTGATAAAAATTTTGTGGTGTATAGCTTGCCCTACCACCACTTCGGGACAACATATGGGCTGGTGCTGAGAAGAAGTGGCGGAAGAAAATCAGTCACCTTGGTCAGCCTCTTTTTAAATCAAATACAGTAATTTATAGCTTACATGACACGTAATAAGTGTGAGCTATTGCTTGAAGTTCACCGACATAAGATTACTCGTATGTACTACGTCTCCTTTTCTCTTTATAAAAGTGTAAAAGAGAAAGATATACTGTCACGGTGACAAAAAGTAACCCGAGCGCGAATAGCCTTCGGCTGCTGCTATTACGCAGCAGCAGAATGTGTCTAGCATCCGTTACTGCGTTCTTGCATTCCGCTACTGCGTTCCTGTTTTCCACTGCTGCATATTTATCCCGCGTTTTTTTATTCCGTTGCTGCATCTAGCAGGTCACTCCTGTGTCTAGCATTCCGCTGCTACGTCTAGCATTCCACTGCTGCGTTCTTGAATTTTGCTGCTATATCATTCATTTCGCTGCTGTGTTATGAATGAAGTCTGCTGTACCCATGCGCTGGACTGACCAGTTCAAAACGGCATTTAATGGTCCACTCCACGAGTGTACAAGAAAGGCTGCAGTGTGGGAGGAATGGCGACGGATTGTGAGGCTTGCCACTGGACCTGGAGTGACGACCACGACCACTCTGGCAAGAGTGTAGCGACGAGGAAGAAGCTATGAAATCTATGTCCAACAGTGGACTAATAAAGGGTAAAATGACAGACTGACCTGCTCAGCGATGAACCGGAAGCCCTTGTCGTCCCTCACGCACTCGTAAGTCTCGGCCAGCAGCGGGTTGAAAGGCTTGCTGGCGGCGCGGTGGGCGGACGACGCGTGCGCGCTCACAGCGAACGCTGCGATGAGTGCTATGCGTTCCACTGCGTTCTTGCACTCTGTAGCTGCTATCTTGCTTTCCGCTGCTATGTTCTAGTATTCCGCTGATGCGTTCTTAGATTCCGCTGCTGCGTTCTTACATTCCGCTGTTGCGTTTTTGAGTTCCGCTGCTGCGTTCTTGGATTCCGCTGCTGCGTTCTTGGATTCCTTTGCTGTGTCTAGCTTTCTTCTGCTGTCTAGCATTCCGCTGCTGCGTCTAGTATTTCGCTGCTGAGTCTAGTATTTCGCTGCTGCGTTCTTTCATTCTGCTGTTGCATCTAGCATTCCCCTGCTGCGTCCAGCATTAAACTGCTGATTTCTTGTATTCACTATAATTATATTGGCGGCTTGCTCAGATGCCCTCAATTTGCGAGGTGTTTGCCGCGATGATCGGCTACGTAAGCCATCTTCGGGGCACACCAGCGCCGTCAAGAGGGTTAGGAGTCGAAGTAGTCGCCATGGCCGAAATCGGTCGGATGAATCATCATCATCATCTTGTATTCCACTGCTGTGTAACGAAGTCTACGTCCAATAGTGGACTAATAAAGGGTAAAATAACCAACTGACCTGCTCAGCAATGAACCGGAAGCCCTTGTCGTCCCTCACGCACTCGTAAGTCTCGGCCAGCAGCGGATTGAAAGGCTTGCTGGCGGCGCGGTGGGCGGACGACGCGTACGCGCTCACAGCAAACGCTGCGATCAATGCTATGCGTTCCACTGCGTTCTTGCACTCTGTAGCTGCTATCTTGCTTTCTGCTGCTATGTTCTAGTATTCCGCTGAAGCGTTTTGCATTTCGCTGCTGCGTTCTTACATTCCGCTGTTGCGTTCTAGAGTTCCGCTGCTGCGTTCTTGGATTCCTCTGCTGCGTTCTTGGATTCCGCTGCTGAGTTCTTGGATTCCGCTGCTGCGTTCTTGGATTCCTTTGCTGTGTCTAGCTTTCTTCTGCTGTATAGCATTCCGCTGCTGCGTCTAGTATTTCGCTGCTGCGTTCTTTCATTCCGCTGCTGCGTCTAGTATTTCGCTGCTGCGTTCTTTCTTTCCGCTGCTGCGTATAGCATTCCGCTGCTGCGTATAGCATTCCGCTGCTGCATCTAGCATTCTGTAGCTGGATTCTTTCACCTCGCTGCTGCTTTTATTCATTCTGCTGCTGCGTCTAGCATTCCTCTGCTGCGTTCTTTCATTCTGCTGCTACGTTTTTACTTTCCTCTGCTGCGTCTAGCATTCCACTGCTGCGTCTAGCGTTCCACTGCTTTCTTTTTTTCATACTGCTGCTGCATTCCTGCATTCCGCAGCTGCATCTAGGATTGATATACACTGGTGATGATAATGATGAACTAACTGACCTGCTCAGCAATGAACCGGAAGCCCTTGTCGTCCCTCACGCACTCGTAAGTCTCCGCCAGCAGCGGGTTGAAAGGCTTGCTGGCGGCGCGGTGGGCGGACGACGCGTACGCGCTCACAGCGAACGCTGCGATGAGTGCTATGCGTTCCACTGCGTTCTTGCATTCTGCTGCTGCGTCCAGCAGTTCAGAGTATTCTAGTTCTTCGCACAGTCGCTGAAACAAAATAAATAATGCTATAAGAATCTTGTTGCGAATTGGTTTTGTAAGTCATTGCTAAGCAAGAAGAAGATGAAGATAAAAATTCTAAGCATTTTCTTGGTCTATGACATCATAGTAATCAGCCAGGCATGAGTTACACCGGCATGGAGATCTGACTGAGATCTTTGCCAATGTTCTTGTACAGCAGGTTCCATAGCGAGGGGCCCTGGGGCTCTAGTAACGTCATAGTGCGGGGCCCCGATGACTTTACATACCTGTAGCATATTAAGTGGCTCGTTGATGGTCACCGGCATGGATATTTGACTAAGGTCTTTCCCAATATTAATTCTTGTACAGCAGATTCCATAGCGAGGGGCCCCCGGGGGTGGGGCGGGGCCCCGGGGCCCCACTACCATCACTTACCTGTAGCATATTAAGTGGCTCGTTGATCGTCACCGGCATGGAGATCTGACTCAGATCCTTCCCAATGTTCTTGTACAGCAGGTTCCACAGCGAGGGGCCCCCAGGCGTGGGGCGCGGGCAGGGCAGGCAGGTGCGGCGCGCCCAGCACTGGGCCCGCGGCTCCAGTGACGTCACATACCTGTAGCATGTTCAGAGGCTCATTGTTGGTGACCGGAATGGAGATCTGGCTGATGTCTTTCCCAATGTTCTTGTACAGAAGATTCCAGAGTGTGGGGCCCTGGGGCCCTAGTAACGTCATAGTGCGGGGCCCCGATGACTTTACATACCTGGAGCATATTAAGTGGCTCGTTGATGGTCACCGGCATGGATATTTGACTAAGGTCTTTCCCAATATTAATTCTTGTACAGCAGGTTCCATAGCGAGGGGCCCCCGGGCCCCAGTGACGTCACATACCTGTAGCATATTTAGAGGCTCGTTGATAGTGACCGGCATGGAGATCTGACTAAGATCTTTGCCAATGTTCTTGTACAGCAGGTTCCATAGCGAGGGGCCCCCGGGGACCCAGTGACGTCACATATCTGTAACATCTTACTTACCTGTAGCATATTAAGTGGCTCGTTGATAGTGACCGGCATGGAGATCTGACTGAGATTGTAGCGTTGCAGTTTTGGCTGTTTTTTCACAAATTAATATTTCTTCTCGATATTCTGATTTTGGATACCACTAGCGACATCTATTGGCGTGATTTAGAATTAATTCGCAATAGATGGCGCTTTTTGCTCAGTTAATTGAAATATATTTTGATGAAACATTTCCCAGTGTTTTTATATTGATTATTCTATTTTTCAAATAGAATATTTTCAGTGTTCTGGAAATTGTTTTCATCATGGTTTTATTAGTACAGTATTTACTTTTTCAAGCGGCGAAACGAAACGTATCGCGTTGTCTATGACTAGCGGCTGTCAGTGGAGCTGTCAAATCACTTAGGAATCTGTCGATCGTGCGCAACCGCAATTTGATTATTTTCGGGAATGTATATTCCTTATGTTTCAAATCGTGTGATGCAGAATGCATCCACGATAATTTATTAATATAATTTAAAAATATTCACACATGAGGTAAGTTCCCGTCGGAGAATTTATTTATTTTTCGTGATTGATATTTTTCGTATTCCAGTACGTGGTATTTCATGTGATCGTTTCTTTCAGAAATTCCCTAAATCCTGTTCGGATGAGGGTGGGTTGCTGAAGGCTGCGAGTGAGTTTCAAATTAGCGAGCAGTTCTTCGTAAGTATTATTTGTTTCCCATTGCGGGTTTTTTCATAACCTAATGCCACGTTCCACATGTGATGCTGAGTCTCGTATTTTTCGTTTCAGATGCGGGATTTCAGATTTTACAATTTCATATTTTACGATTTTACATTTCATATTTTAGATATTTCAATATTTCATATTGATTTCTATAATTATTACTCCTTTCTAAACTGCTGATCTCTTCGCATTTCCTCCTTGTCATCAAACCTCTGTCTCTGCAAGAGNGGTTTAAACTAGGCAAAATTTTTATTTTGAAATTTTTTTTGGGAATAATGTATTTTTTTCATCCAAGCTGGAGCAGCTGGTTTTGTAATTTTGATAACAATTTAGAGAAGCATTATTCAGGGTTACATAACAAAAAAAAAATTTGGAAAAAGTGAAGATTTGTGGCAACACGAGTAAAAGGACCGTCACCTGGAGTAGAATTTTTAGATTTTTTTTAAATGCCTATTATTTTGAAAATATGCCACATAGATTTTTTTTTATATTTTTCTGATAACCAGCACAACTTGCCTCAACACCCAGTTCCGGCTTGACGTTATATTACGGGACACCCTGTATACGAGCATACGAGATAAAAATAAATTGTGTCAATTGAGAGGGAGCTGTTTTATTTACATTTTCTAATTTCACACAAGGAACGGTAACTCTTATAAATTTCTGCAAGCCGGACAACCTCTTTTACACGTGCAGACAATTCACCATCTTCTCAGTCTGCACCGGTGGCGGTTCAATTCCAGTCACCAAGCCGCCAGGAAAAAATCCTTTCTTGCAAGATCCTTCCCAATGTTCTTGTACAGCAGGTTCCATAGCGAGGGGCCCCCAGGCGTGGGCCGCAGGCAGGGCAGGCAGGTGCCCCGTTGACGTCACATACCTGTAGCATATTCCTTACCTGCAGCATATTAAGGGGCTCGTTGATAGTGACCGGCATGGAGATTTGACTAAGGTCCTTCCCAATATTCTTGTACAGCAGGTTCCATAGCGAGGGGCTCCCGGGCGTGGGGCGGGGCCCCGGGGCCCCAGTGACGTCACTTATTTGTAACATGTTGCTTACCTGGAGCATATTAAGTGGCTCGTTGATAGTCACCGGCATGGAGATCTGACTCAGATCCTTCCCAATGTTCTTGTACAGCAGGTTCCATAGCGAGGGGCCCCCGGGCGTGGGGCGCGGGCAGGGGCCCCGGGGCCCCACTACCATCACTTACCTGTAGCATATTAAGAGGCTCGTTGATGGTCACCGGCATGGAGATCTGACTAAGGTCCTTCCCAATGTTCTTGTACAGCAGGTTCCATAGCGTTGGCCCCCCGGGCGTGGGGCGCGGGCCCCGGTGACGTCACATATCTGTAACATCTTACATACCTGTAGCATATTCAGGGGCTCGTTGATAGTGACCGGCATGGAGATCTGACTAAGGTCCTTCCCAATGTTCTTGTACAGCAGATTCCACAGCGAGGGGCCCCTGGGCCCCAGTGACATCACATATCTGTAACATCTTACTTACCTGTAGCATATTCAGGGTCTCGTTGATGCACCGGCATGGAAATTTGGCTGAGATCTTTCCCAATGTTCTTGTACAGCAGGTTCCACAGCGAGGGGCCCCCGGGCGTGGGGCGCGGGCAGGGGGCCCCACTGCCATCACTTACCTGCAGCATATTAAGTGGCTCGTTGATGGTCACCGGCATGGAGATCTGACTCAGATCCTTGCCAATGTTCTTGTACAGCAGGTTCCATAGCGAGGGGCCCCCGGGGGTGGGGCGGGGCCCCGGGGCCCCAGTGACTACATACCTGCAGCATATTCAGTGGCTCGTTGATGGTCACCGGCATGGAGATCTGACTCAGATCCTTGCCAATGTTCTTGTACAGCAGGTTCCATAGCGAGGGGCCCCCGGGGGTGGGGCGGGGCCCCGGGGCCCCACTGCCATCACTTACCTGTAGCATATTCAAAGGCTCGTTGATGGTCACCGGCATGGAGATTTGGCTCAGATCCTTGCCAATATTCTTGTACAGCAGGTTCCATAGCGAGGAGCCCTGGGGCCCTAGTAACGTCATAGTGCGGGGCCCCGATGACTTCACATACCTGTAGCATATTAAGTGGCTCGTTGATGGTCACCGGCATGGAGATCTGACTGAGGTCTTTCCCAATATTCTTGTACAGCAGGTTCCACAGCGAGGGGCCCCCGGGCGTGGGGCGCGGGCAGTGCAGGCAGGGGCCCCGGGGCCCCAGTGACTACATACCTGCAGCATATTCAGGGGCTCGTTGATGGTCACCGGCATGGAGATCTGACTGAGGTCTTTGCCAATATTCTTGTACAGCAGGTTCCATAGCGAGGGGCCCCCGGGCGTGGGGCGCGGGCAGGGCAGGCAGGTGCGGCGCGCCCAGCAAGGGGCCCGCGGCTCGATGCCGTTCTGGTTCAGGCGGAGGGTCACTTGTTCTGCTGACAGCACTGGGGAAGAGAAGGATCGTGGTAAATAAATGATTGTATTATACTGTAAAGTGTGAGCTTACTATTTTTATTACTCTCCGATTTCTTAAATAGCCGCGATCGTTCTAAAATAAGTCGATTATTTGATTCCCGAGAAGTCGTCGAAGAAGATTTACTTAATGAATGGCAAAAAAGATGGGATACGTCAGTCAAAGGACGTCACTTATATAAATTCTTCCCGAATGTACGCGAACGTCTAACTAGGCGATGGTTAGAAATCGACCATTGCTCGTCGCAGTTCCTCACGGGACATGGCAACTTTAAACATAAACTTCACGAATTCAAACTAGTTCCGTCTCCTTTTTGCGAGTGTTTCACTGATGATGTCAGTCATGAGCAGTCTGCCCATCATATCTTGTGGGAGTGTGATCTTTGGAAACATGAACATTGAACGTGATATATAATGCTTAATTCAATACAACATACATCTGTTTCCGCAATTTATTACACCGATCTTGTCGCGACAAGGAAAAATTTCCGTGCTTTTAAGCGATTTTGTGAAAAATATTATTGGCAGGTAGTTGCTAATTGCTCATAAGATAGGCCCCCTTAATTTAATTTATTGTCCGTGGTGCATAATCTTTTCTTAAAGGTTTTTAAACTTTTGTTTGTCACCTGTCATCCGCTTTGCAATGGAGGGAAGTCGAACCTTAATTTCGAACTCCTCCTATGTTCTTCTGATTAATTTCGTTGCGGGTCCAATGACAGTTTAACTTTCCCCCAGGACAAACTTGACCTTCATTGGTTGGGTTTTTGTGGCGGTCAAGCTGTAGATCCTGGCTACACAGGAGTTGCAGTGGTGGGAACGAGAGGTGGGAATAGTCCCGTTTTATTACTGTGGCTAGCAAGCAGGTATTTTTGACAAGGTTGTCCACTAACTTTTTGCTGTATACATTAAAAATAAGGCAAATAAAACATATTATTATAGCTAACGAATGATCTTTGTTTTATTGTAATGTCACTCACCATCCCCTGACTATGGATTGATACGATTATGATAACTCTCGAAAAATAGTATTAGCAGCGCAGTGTCGCGTGAGATGGGTTTCAACACGCGCGAACGCCCAACTAATGTGCGGGCGTAAGGAGCGGGCATTTGCGCAAGTTTTAGCGCAACCCCTAAAGGCTGATTTACACGTATTAATTAATTATTTAACTAAATTTTGACTTAATTTTAAGTCTATGTCCAAACGTCAAGCTCGTTGTTTACTATGAAACTGCTTGTAAAACGTGTCAAGTGACAAGCCCCGCCCACCAACTTAACCGAAAAATTTAGTTATCTACTTAATACGCGTAAATCAGCCTCTAAATGTAAAGCCACAACACGCAAAGCAACTCACTCGCACCGTCTGAGTTGTCGGAGCTGGCCGATCCTTCTTCGCTGCTGAGCGAGCCGGCCTCTGATGACGAATCTCCATCGAGCTCGATCACGCCGGCCTGTGGAGATATCGATAAAATAGATTAATATCGCTAAAGCCTGGTCCATGAGCACGTAGAATCCCGTCCAATGACTGCCCATCCTTGTTGCTCGCGCGTAATTATGTTGCTGTCGCGCTCGCACACTCACTGCGGGCGCACGTCGCACAGTCGCGACAGCAATATAATTACGCGCGAGCGATAAGGATGGGTAGCTTGGGGTCATTGGACGGGATTGTACGTGCTCACGGACCAGGCTTTAGATCGAGTCTGAATAACGGATCATAGACAAGTTACAATAACTTCGAAATTACTTCACGTAGCGAGTAACTAACATGTTTCAAAATTTTACAACCCGGTCGAGTTAACTGCGTATCTGGCAGCCGTGACGTCACATGTAGCTCTGGTACGCATGGGACGAACGCGGGGAGTGCGAGGGAGTCGCATTCCAGCGTGGTGCGCAGTTAGCTGGATCGGATTGTGCCTGTCACGTTTTGTCACTTGTCTAGAGGGCTGTATATTAACATTAACCGCTGAATGTTTTCGTGAAACAGCTAAGACTCGGCCAAGTAGGCTAACCTTTAGAGACGTGATAACTGCTTTTGGATTTACCAGAGTATTATATCAATAAACCTCCTTCTGGCGCAGTCGGGTAAATATTATAACTCTTCATAAAGGCCTTTTGTGATTGTATTTTGAACTTAAGTGCCATGTCTTTTTGTATTTGAATTTGGCATACCTCATCAGCAGCAAGTATTTCCGTAGGCTTCAGGTCCTCGTCGTGCTCCTCAGCATCAAAGAACTCGGAAGCGGAGACACACGAGGAGCTGTAGCTTAGCGACTGCTGGAACTGTCTGTTCACCTGTTGAGGGTGTAAGGAATAGATGATAGTTGATGTTATTAAAATACCTACAAAATTTGCGTAATAACAATTGCCCCATCAAAGGGAAATTATGAACTTTTCTTCATAATTCCCTGTTAATGAGTTGAGTTAATAGGGATAAGTGTAATAACACCAAAAAGCGATTCGTTGTCAGTCACAGATTCTGAAATCTAAAAATTGTCTGTTCTTTTGTTTAAGGATAAGGTCTTTACAAGTTTCAAAACTTGATTCAATCTCTCTTAGGGCTGATTTCAATCGCCGGAGAACTTTTAACCGAAGAAAATGTTTGGTACATTGACAGTTTCAGTATGGGAAATATCATAAATATCTCAAAAGACAAATAAATACTTTCTATTCTATTCTATTCTAAAAGTACAATTATATTCTTCAGTTAAAATATAATTACATAATGTATAGACCGACAGCGTAGTTCCTAAATGATGCGGGCTGCGTTCACTTTGACCTGACCACAGACTTCATTTAGGGCTGATTTTTCAATCGTCAAAGTATAAGTTAGGCACATTGACAGTTTTAGTATGGGAAATATGTCAAAATGACAAGGTTATTCTTCATTAAAAGATATCTGACCATTGAAAAATCAACCCTAAGTGTGATGATAAATCCTTAAACACTCAGTCACTCACCGGCTCGGAGTTGTTGCCCATGGACGATATTTCAGCGATATCCGACGCGTCGTGTATGCGCGACAGTCGGGACCGCAGCTCTGCGCACAAAACTTCGCACGTCATTATTTACGCACCCATGCCAGGGTCACGCGGATTCATTATTTACAAAGCATTTACAAAATCATTTTAGTCTATGGCAGTACGTTGATGAATGTCAGGCTGCCAGTCCACCGGAGCGAAGCGAGGAATTAGAGTTAGAGTACTTAATGTATAGCGGATAGACTAAGAGCTGGTGAACCCCAGCATCCGTCATTTTAAAAGAGCTGAAAGTTTGGCAGCTTATGCTCCCAATAATTAGAAGTAGTTTCCTCAGCAGCCAGATAGTTTTGACAATTCGAACTCCTTGCCAGACAGTTTTTTTAGGATAGCTGCCAAAGCCACGATGACCCAAACTTCAACTATATAGGGAGCATACGCTGACAAACTTTCAGCTTTTATAAAATGACGTAGGTCTGGCGTTCACTAGCTCTTAGTCTAGGAGTTGTAGTTAACAACTCCGCTACACACAACGTGTGTAGTTAGCGGAGTGGAGTAGGAAAGTATGCAGAGTGGAGTTTCGGACTGACTTTCATACGTGGACCTAGGTCCACCTTCTCCGCTGCTCTTACTCGTTCAATTTCCCTGTTTATTTTATGAATTTATACGCATTTCTCGCTTTGCTCCAATGTACAGGCAGCCTACACCAAGGAGTGATGCAAAACACGATTGTCCGCTTTTTTCATCCATAGAATGGCGGTTGGCGCCATTTACAATTAGTGTAACTGTGACAAAATCCGTCGACAGTGGCGCCAACTAATACGCTACTCCAACCTTTCTAAAAACCATATCAAGAATGTTTGACACGACCCTTTTTAATTTAGCAAACGGAGGAATTAGCCTACACTCCCCGCGCAACGGCAACGGGATGGGGATTTGGGAGCATAAAGCTGTTTTTTGTTTGTCGTGTTATGTCATGACGAATCTGAACAGAATCTGTTTCATACATTTAGTGTGCGACACGTCAAAAGCCGTCACGACACATTATAGTTTAAACGTTACCATAATATTCGATTCTGTTCTGATACAACACGCCAGACAAATATAAATTCGCCTTAGTTTGTGACAGTCATAAAACTCGTGTCTCACCCGAGTTCTGCTGCAGCGCCGAGGTCAGGTTAGTTCTGAGAGCTGCCACCACCGCCCCTGGCGGCGCTGCGGTCGTTTCAGCCGCGTCCATGGCCGCACGCAGTCTGCCTCGCTCGCACACCTGGATGATACAAATATGTGTTGTAAAGATTAAGAGTTTAGGGCTCAGTTTTGATTGTACTGAATCAGTAATGGAGTATGACAAACTTATGTCGTAAAGAATAAATATTGTGGAGTTAAATTTTATTAATTAATATAGACCTGGCCTTCACTGGTTGGGTTTTTGTTGGCGATCAAGCTGTAGATGCTAGCTACACAGGAGTTGCAGCGGTGGGAACAAAAGGAAAATAATCCCGTAAATATACATAGAAATCGTTCCGTTTCACTTACCAAAGTGGACCCCGCGTCCCGCCGGCCTCTAAGGCCCCCAATATTGTGCATTTCCGTTTTATAAATATACGCAGACCTTACGTTCACTGGTTGAGTTTTTATTAGAGGTTAAGCTGTAGATCATATCCTAGTTACACAGGAGTTACAGCGGTGGGAACAATAGGGCCGTAAATATAGGATAAGGCTGGTGATCGAAGCCGGACCCCCCGCTGGCCTCTAAAATCTCCAATATTGTATACTTACAATATAAATTAAATATACATAGAAATTACTTACCAGAGTGGACACAATGCCCTTCAAGATAGCCAGCAGATCTTTGGCCAACACAGTAAAGTCTTCCCTCAGCAGATGGTCGGCGGTCAGAATGGTGATTGAGGCCGGGCCCCCCGCACTCCCATGGGCCCCTAAGCCTCCGATATTGTGGATTTAGATTTATAAATATACATAGACCTGACCTTCACTGGTTGGGTTTTCATTGGCAGTCAAGCTGTAGATGCTGGCTACACAGGAGTTGCAGGCAACGGCAGGCAGGACCAAAAGGTAGGAAGAATAATCCCGAAAATCGTTCCGTTTCACTTACTAAAGTGGCCCCCGCCGGCCCCTAATATTGTATAATTACATTTTTTCACTTATTCTTCTTTTCGTGTCGACAACAAACCTACACAGTGTCAGCCCAAAACTCCGCCACAAGAGTGGCGTTGTCGGTAGCACTCATCAAATCCTCCTGAGTGCAGTTGCTTGAGCACTCAGGGCATGACATCAGGTGCCTCATCGACTGGGGAACAAAACCGCACCTGCACTCCATGTTCAAGCCATCCAAGAATCCCCACCTGGCCAGATTGTCCTTACTACGGCCAACCTGCGTCCGAAGTCTATTTAAAGACTTCCAGGTAAGCCAGGGGAGCTCATGTCCAGGTGGAGGACTCTCAGACATAGGGACAAAAGGGCAGGGGAGATTTTTTCACTTACCAAAGTAGACACAATCCCCTTCAAACTAGCCACCAGATCTTTGGCCAACACAGTAAAGTCTTCCCTCAGCTGATGATCGGGGGACAGACTGGTGATCGAGGCCGGGCCCCCCGCCGGTCTTTAAGGCCCCCGATATTGTATAGTTACATTTTTTTCACTTACCAAAGTAGAAACTATTCCTTTCAAGCTAGCCACCAGTTCTTTGGCCAACACAGTAAAGTCTTCCCTCAGCTGATGGTCGGGGGTCAGACTGGTGATCGTGACTGGACCCCCCGCACCCTCACCGGTCCCTAAGGCCTCCAATATTGTGCAGTTCCGTTTTATAAATATATGTAGACCTTACCTTCACTGGTTGAGTTTTTATTAGAGGTTAAGCTGTAGATCCTATCGTAACTACACAGGAGTTGCAGCGGTGGGAACAAATAGGGCCGTAAATATAGGATGAGGCTGGTGATCGAAGCCGGGCCCCCCGCTGGCCTCTAAAACGTCCAATATTGTATAGTTACAATATAAATATACATAGAAATTACTTACCAGAGTGGACACAATCCCCTTCAAGCTTGCCACCAGATCTTTGGCCAACACCGTAAAGTCTTCCCTTAGCTGATGATCGGGGGTCAGACTGGTGATCGAGGCTGGACCACCCGCACCCCCGCCGGTCCCTAAGGCCTCCGCCCCTGGGAGAGACTGAGGTCTCGCTGCTGCACATGCTGTTGAAATATTTAGCTTTCTTTATAAGGTCTAAATTGACAGTGATAGTTTTTTACCAGCCAGGCTAGGATGCGAGTCATGATAAAATCTTATCGACAAATGTATGGTCTTATCGCATAAAATCGATAAATTGGCGCGATAAAATGTTATCGCGGCGTGCATCCCAGGTCTACAGTTCGGCGTTAATGTTTTAGGGTGTAGAAACAAGGGTAGTTGACACCATTGACTAAATTCACACATATAGACTTATTGTTGATATTTTCACAAATAAAATTTGTGGTTAAAATACACATGTCTTTGCCATCAAATTCAAAAGGAGAAAACGAACTTTTTTTATACCAAATACATAGGGTATCTCTATTCCTGAAAACAGAAGTTATTTCCTGTAGATCTGATTTTTAGTAGGTTTCACATTTTTGACAGTTCGTAAAAAGTATGTCAATTGACTGGCGATATCAACTACCCTATTGTATTTTTTTGTTGGGTTACTTTATGCCAATATACTCGTAGATAAATAATTCAATTTTGAATACGTAAAATAGACAGTAGACTGTGCGAACTGTGAATTTATTATTCTTTTTATTGTTTAGATTATAATATTACATAAAAAAAAAAGTTAAAAACCAAAACATGCATTGAAAATGAGATGATTGATGAACTTATCTACGTACGATATAGTGATACATGGCTGATAGAAAATGAGTGTATTCCAAATTAGTTTTTCAATACTTATTAAACTATACTCAATAAGGGTAATTTTGCTGGTAGCCTTGAGATTTTAAGTAGCAAAATCAGCCTTAAATATAACAAGATAATGTACAGTGGGCCACAGTTTCAGCTAAAGTCAATTCACCGAGCACGTAGGATTTCGTCCAATGACCCCAAGCTACCCATCTTTATCGCTCGCGCGCAATAATATTATGATTCCGTCTTTTCTCTCGCTCTCATCAAATGGCGATTCTTTGCGATAGAACGAGACGACTTGACTTGAAAAGGGTAGCTGGAAGTATGGCCTATAGTACAGTACAGTCAGCAGCAAAAGTACTCGATTTGGATTTATTATTCTAAAATCATAGTAGATTAACAACTCTGATGCTAACTGGACCAATTTCGTTTTCATTGACGTTATAATATCTAAAATTTAACTTTTTAGTACAATACGTAAAATTATACATTAATTATTAATATTTCCAAAATATACCGTGCTACTTATGATTTTTTGATAATACATATAAGTCTCAAAAATACTGAATTTCTTTAAAACATGTGCTAAGTGGTAAGTAAGCAGAAGTATAATTTAAATACCTACTCAATGCAAGTGGAGTTAAAGATCTAATTTGTTTAATTTTATACTTTTATCTACATCAAAGTGAAATTACAATATTTTTTTGTTATAAAGTTAACGTCAAATTCTACTGGTGAAAAATATGAAAAACATAACTTTACCGGATAAAGCTGTTCAAGTCATTGGTAAAATCCGTATTGCTATTCTGAAATTAAGCTAAAATATATCTTGGGTTAATCCAGGATAAGACTTAATTTGGATTTAATATAATTAAACAGATGCAAGACAGAAGTTTAAAATATTGATATTGAATACGAGATACATTGAAATTCAAAATATCGTACCGTTTTAATAAAAGAAGGTGAATAAATAAATATAAATATTTGATACATTTATTTTGAGTAGGAAAGCTCTTAAAACCTAAATCAATCACGTTACTACTCTTTTACATGGCCCAAGTAATACTAATTATATTATAGTATTCCTATAGGCAGAATGTAGTAGCCCCAAAATGCTGCAAAATCTAGTACGACATTCTCTTAATTGTGTCATAATTAGGGTCTAATAATATAATGCACAACTCACTTCTTGCTTCAACTTCGCACTCCCTCAACACTTTGAATATGTATTGGCACACTGTCTTCATAACAAAAAACATTACCCCACCACTATCACTCGTCATTTTTAACTGTTTTTAATTAAAAACTGGAGTAAAATCTGTCAAATCACAACAATTATAAGTTTGTCTTCTCTGTCTAATTAATTATATAATAGAAAGAGATGCACACAAAACTAAACACACGAAAAAATTGCAGACACTGCCTATTTTTTAACAGCATTGCAATGAAACTGTTTCATCTTATGAATAATTTAAATTGTGCATCGTATTAAGGGAGTTGCGCCTGTATTGTGAAATCAACTCTAAATATATCAACAATAAGGTTCAATTTAGCCTAACATACATCACACTTTGGATTCTTGAAGTATTGGTCTTGTGAAACAATAGATTAGTATAGCGTAACGGATTTTAGTAGCACGGATTTACTAATCTTAATTCGAAAGGCGTAAGGTTAATTTTCCAATGATCTGGTCTTAGTATCATTGAGATTACGGAGATCTGTATATTCTAGACTGTGATAAGATGATGTGATAACTGATAACAGCTGACAGATCACAAGGTCGAATAACATAGCTATTGCTAGCAGGTACCTACTATTACTCATACTATGATAGCAATTTAGTTCCTTGTTTTGCTTATTTCAGGTTTAAATTATAAACAACTTTTAAACGTAGTTATTAGGTCGTAAACTTATGATAAACTGATTTAAGAAGGTAATTGGTAGTATTTTTAAAAGTATTTGCGTAATGGTGCGTCCACACTGGGCGAATATGCTCGCACGGCAAATTCGAAATCCTGCTCACCCTGCTCTTGAGTGAGCAAGATGTCGAGTGTGCCGCGCGAGCATATTCGCCCAGTGTGGACGAACTATACAACTTTCTGTTAATGAATTAATTTAAACAGGTTTTAACGCGATACGCGGATAGGTAACATTAAAATATTACCTGTATTTGCTAAAGATTTCTGACCAGACCTCCTTATTCAGTAGAAATTAAAAAATAGCTTGTAATATTTTTGCGAAAAATGTGAGAGTGGTGAAAGCATTTAGTATTTGATGCTTTTTTAGTAGAAAGCACATCTGACTCAACATTTTATTGCAAAATAGCGCCTTTTACGATTGCATAAGTATCAGATTTTAGCTTGATGTGCTGTAATAATCATTCTCAAAGCATACATTTCAGCTTGCTTTTAGCAGCATGCATTTTGCATAGAAATTAATTTCCCTTTGCCTCTTGTCTCATAAAAAAAAGTAGAACGAGAAATGGCAGCGATATTTTTTTGTATTTTTGAGTGTTTTTAGTATATTTTTTGGGATTTTTTTAACTGTTGGGAGATATGAACCTAGGAAATCAAAACGACTAAAATAAAAAAAAAGTTAACATCCCTATCTGATCCCTGTCCTTCTTTCTTTAGTTACAAGTATATTCTTATGACACGTACAATTTACAACCAAACAAAAATGATTTCGCCAATGGAGTGTGAATTTTATGTCTGAGTCGTAAGGTTTGAAACAGAAGCACGCATTTCTTTCCAATCAACAAATAAAATGGAACTGTCTATCCGTTGCCATAACATTCGTGGTTTATGTATATCGTGATTATACAACTGAAGCTGTATATAATATAGCGATGCTTTTATATACAATGGTGAATGTGTCGAGTAGGTAAGGGATTCAAGTAATACAAAAATAAAAAAACAATCTTACGAACTAAAGTAGAGGCCAGAAATGTTGAAAGAAATGCTGGAATGCAAAACGAGAAAGAAACAATTAGATTTGTGTGGTTTTTATAACATTGATATTATATTTATTTATGTCAGGACCCAACAAATATTTATTAGGACCTATTTTTTGCATATCATTGCTTAAAAAAAGAATAGAGCATTTTGTTGGACCCCAAAATATTCTAAACTAGCAATTAGCGCCATCTATCGAATTTCGATTGAACTTTGTACTGTACAGGATGAGTCTGAATTTTGATTTCCAATCGTAAATCATTGTTTTCGATTATTTTGTTACTTACTTATCTTTTGAATGTTATTATAACTTGTGCTATGATAATTCACAATTACAATTTTTTTTAAATTATTTTGATGATGAATATGGTTTTCTCTTATAATAATCTCACATCAGAGGTGGAATTGTGTAAAGCAATCGTAATCATTTGACAGTTCATAACGTACGATAATGTCAATTAAACAAAGCGTTTGACAGAATGATCGTACGTGAAGGTGTGGAAATGCAATCTATGGACTATTGCCCAGATGGATGCCTTTTAACTCATCTCTTAAAAGCCTTATGGAATTTTAATAGTGTCAATATTATTCCATTAATAATTAATATCATTTTTATGACTACAGATGGCGTAATATTTCTCAAACCCCAAATGGTAGTATATGACTGCGTAACAATTGATTAGGCATGTATTTAAATGATCTTTTTAAATTAGCAAAAACGGCAAATAAAAAAATCTAAATGGTCATCAATTTTAATGATTGATCCTCTTTCTTTGAGACATAAAATATATGAAATCGATCGATATTTTAACCTCTTTTGAACTACGCAAAAAAAATTGAGATGTAAAAATTATATCTGATCGTTACTTGATGGTCCTCAAAAATAAAAGAAATGAGCACCAAATATTCAATATTGTGATACTTTTTTAAATAATTCGATTTGTATAAATTATTTTTTGTCTATATCAAATAATCTTCAAAATAATTATGTTATGGTACTTATTTTTATTAAGTTGTAGTCAAAGGATGGAAACTATTTAACCCTTAAATGCATGATTTTTTATTTAGTTATGAAAAAAATATATCAATTAGATTTTTAGTCACAGATAGGGGGAAAAATAATAAAAAAAATCTTAGTACGAAAAAAAAGTATATTTTTGAAAATTAACAGTATGTAGCCAAATGTCTACACCATGCGTTTGTATGCCGTAAAATTGTTCTATGGTTTGTATATTTGGCTTTTCTTTTCAGCATGTTTGGCTCGCTATCTGAAAAGGAAATTGGGGCAGCTCTTGCTGCTTTAAATGATGGTGCAGTCTCAGAAAATGATGAAAATTTAGATGATGATAACATCGATTATTACCCAAACGTACGGGATTTGTTGCATGATCGGGATGAGGAGTCCATAGATCATAATCTACCCTTGGAACATAACGAAGACCCTGGAACATAACCCTCCCATAGTCTATGAAGAGGAGCATATGTTAGATCAGATCTTCGTTATGTTCCAAGGGTGGATTATGATCTATGGACTCATCATCCAGATCATGCAATAAATCCCGTACGTTTGGGTAAAAATCGATATTATCATCATCTAAATTTTCATCATCTTCTGAGACTGCACCATCATTTAAAGCAGCAAGAGCTGCCTCAATTTCCTTTTCATATAGCGAGCCAAACATGCTGAAAAGAAAAGCCAAATAAGCAAACCATAGAACAATTTTAAGGCATAAACGCATGGTGTAGACATTTGGCTACATACACAAAAATCAAGTCGAAGGCACATTCGGGATAGATTACCAAAAAAATAAGTTATAATAATGATTTTTTACATTATTTCTAACACGTATGTATTTTTTTCCAATCGTTTTAGCAATTAATTGTCACTGAATCTGAAATTCAAATACCACAAATTTTAACACTACCAATTTTTTCTCTTTCGCAATCGCTACGTCAAATATCGGTTATTTTTTTTTCAAATCTACCTTCATTTGCGTTTTTTTTATCTTTATTATGATGTTTTCTATGATATTAGCGTACGTTCAGAAACGCTTATAAAATGTGTTACTTTTTATAATTAAAAAAGTACTTCGTAGACATATGGCAACACTATGCATTTAAGGGTTAAATTGATATAAAAATCATCAAATTAACAAAATTAAAGATCAATAACTAAAAAAGAGGATCAAATATTATTTTTGTTTACCAAATATTAAAAGAGTATGTGAAACATAAATATTATGTTACCTTTAATGAAGATCATTCATAATTTATCCGTAGATCAACTAATATAGACCCAATAATTAATATAAAGATAAAATATAATAAAAAACATCATTTATTTTTAAAAGTGCACATACAAAAAAGATCAATTAGTTTTTAGAGGATCAAATAATATTGTCCCAATTGATTATATCTATTGTGTTTCGAATTCTCGATTTTCCGGGCTTGAAGTGATCAAGTAACAAATAATCGAAAACAAAACTTATTCATGATTGGGAACGTATCAGATCTGAAACGTAGACATATGTTGAAGCACGACATTGTCCATAGCAAGCTACAGTAGCGAGACAGACATGCCATCTTAGCATTACTATCGTGCACAGTGTTTTAAATAATCGTTGGCGTAACTAGACATTTTAAAGACTACGAAACGAATTGAGTTGCTGGATTAGAGAGTAAACGTTAAATCTTTCGACGAAACGACATTTTTTTTAACTAAATTCAGAAAACCACAGCTCTATCTTTTTATGTACTGTTCTTTTTATGTGTTATAATAAGTAAATAGTAAGTTTTAACTTGTCTTTAGTAATAATAATAAAGTTATTTGCTGAACTGATAAGTTCCAGAAATAAATCCCAAATTTATTTTTCATAAAAAAGAAATAACAAATTGAAATTCTGTACGACTCCATCGCCTTAATAATCAAGGCATATTCACACATTGGCCCCAACACCACTAGTCCCACGTGTGGATCTAGAAACATTAATTGGCACCAACGTTGGGACAAGCTATTTTCTAGAGCCAATCGTTGCGTTGCGTTGGGACCAACATTGGGTCCAATGCAAAGTATGGAGCCAACCAGCCTTATCACAAACGTCAAAGAATATGTAATTCTATGTACAAATAAACAGGTTTTTAAAACGTAGTTACGCCAACGACATTGACATTTATCGACGCCATTTTGTTCATTGTTAATCTGTGATGCCGCCATGCTGTATGCGCATTCACAACTTACCAATTTCGTAGAATCCTTGACAAGACATAATTATTTTAAAATACTTTATTTATATTCACATCATCAAAACGTTAAATATTTTTTTATCAACAAAAAATAAATAAAAAATACATGATTTGTAACAAAATATGTACATGTCTTCAGTTATTTTTCCGATAATTTCTTTCTTTGGACGTGAGTATTCTTATTTTCACGATTACTATAAAGAAAATAATAAATTGTAGTCATATACACAATAAAACGTCTAACATTAAATCTAGGTCAAGACATCTAAAACATTTCAGTGCAATGAAATTTTGTGCTTTGCTATTGTTATACTAGTTACACATCGAATTATTTTATCTATTTATTTCTATTTTATTGTGTATATAAAATCATAAATCAAGATTTGGGAAACTATTTACATTGCCAACGAGTTCTGTTATTCATTGTCATTATAAAGGACATATAATAAAACATAGTATCATCATTTATTTATGAAGTCGGTTACAATGGCAGACTTTAATTAAGACAGCACTTAGTTTTAAGCACTTTTAGTTATAGTAATTTCATGTATGCGTGTTTGTCTTGTTGGTTGTCCTAATAAATAAAATAAAAAATAAAAAAAATAAACAAAGGTTTCCGTTTTGGTAACACCAAGGCTGGGTTGCACCATTCTAATTTAACTTTGACAAACGTCAAAAATCTGTTAAACTCCATACAAAAAGCACCGATTTATCGTTATAGTAAACCGTTAAAGTTAAAATCTTACTTTAACGTTAACAAACGACAAGTCTGTGAAACTTCATACAAAAACACCGGTTATAGTTACGGTTAAAATTAAGGTGGTGCAACCATGGACCTATAAAAAAAGTCGGACGGATTCTCATCAACAAAATACTGTGACATTAGGATACACCAGCTTGCCTGTACGTACAGGCCGGCACGCACACATTCACACCCTGTTACACCACTTCGAGTGCAAACTTCACACAGTTGACACATTTAAGCAGCGAAAAAACAACACGAATACGACATGTCTTGTGTGATGAAATTGTGTAAAAACCGTTCTGTTCGAACAAACAAAAATTAAGGAATTACATTTCACAGGCAAAATAATAATCCAATCACTTATTTCCCGACATTAAAATATTGAAATTAATTGAAATCAAACGTCATTCACTCGAAAAAATAATACGTCAAAGACCAGTGTTCTCAGTTATTTACGTGGGAAAATTACCCGAAATATGGGAAATTAATAATGATTTTAGGACTTTTTAGTCATGTATTACGCATACTATGGAAATAAAATAATTTATCATAATAATTGCGTTTTAATGGGATATATTTTCATGGGCAAATTTGATCCTTCCCAAAAATGTGGAACTGCGAAATTCAAATTTTCTTACATTGATTGCAAGTCAGTGTCAGGTTGTATGTTAAAAAAAATCTATCAGAGATAATAATAATATATTGATGATGCATAAGATTATGATTATAATGTACACAAGATTCGTAATTTGTAACTGCGTGAATCATTTTTGATCAACATTATGTACATACCCTGACACACTGACTTGCAAACAATGTAAGAAAATTTGAACATTGAAAATTTCGCGCCTACCTCAACGCATACACCTTTCATCCTTTTAAAATGGCACGGAATAATTCTGTCTACATTTCCAAGTAACATCTGCCGATCTATGATTTTCTTAAAATAAATGGGTAAAATGTTTTGGCTAACATGGCATCCCTAAATTCACTCACACAATAGACAAACGCCAAAATTTTGCGTCACAGTTTTGTTGTAGCCCGAGTTCCGTCCGCCTTTTTTTATAGGTCCATGGGTGCAACTGAGGCTGATAATTAAAAGGGACATTAATCTTACTAATGAAATGAAAGTTGAACACTAGATTAAAGTGACGTTTAGTATCGAAAAGTTATTTTAAACTGTTCAACAAGCGTGTAAATTTTTATAAGTGAGTTAAAAGTAACTTAAAAATATAGATAACAGAGCTCGTCAGCAAAAGATCTAACACTTCCACGACTAACAGAGACGAGAAAGAGTAAAAAGAGTCGTATGTGTACGCATTAAGGTCGCTTACCGATCGGCAGCGAGGCGGCCGAGTTGGGCACGGACGACGCTCCGCCCCCGGGGGAAGGCGGGGCCGTTAGAGCTGAGAGGGCCTGTGGAGGGAAAAGTTAAAAACACATGTTAAAAGAACACACAAATATATGATATACCATATGGTTTTTAACGGCGTGATTTTATAACCAAGTAAAACTAATGCGAAAATCCGCACTGCCGCATTTTCCCGTGACTCCCGCGGTTTACCGCTTGCGGGAAAAAACCGTAGTGCGGACTCAGCCTTAGAGGTAAGATAGCCAGTTCCTCTGTGGTTGAGAACTCCGGGTGAAGATAGCTTCTATCTTCGGCTTGATCATCACTTTCCATTAGGTGAGACACAAGCCAAGAGCTTCTTCGTTGTGGATAAAAGACATACATAGGCCAATATTTTATATTCCTCTCTTTTGTGTCACGTAATCGGGTAAAAAGAACTATGCAAATATATTGACAGATTAACACAATATTATAATGAATTTTATGAATTGTTTTTTTCCTTTTTACGATCTGTCAATCGCGATTTCCCCATATTTTTGTGTAGCAATAGGAACCTCGGCAGTACAAATTAAGATAGTCAGTTACACTGTGATTGAGGATTTCGGGTGATGCTTACTTTGTCCTTGTTAAATTAGAGAGTTTTCCTCATCAATCCCTAATTTTTAAGTAATCCCTATGGTAATACATAACAGGTATTTTGTTCTCATAGGGGTTACTTAAAAATTAGGGATTGATGGTGAAAACGGGCATCATGCTCCTATAGTGAAGTCTAAGTGACCTGATGATGATGATGATGATTTCGGTGATAAAACATACCATATGCGAGCTGGACGGGTCTATATGTGGCGGGGCGAGTTCGACGGACGCACACTTGCTGTTGGACTTCTTCTTGCGGAGGCCGAACTTGCGGCGGTCTTTCTTGACGTTTGGTGAGGCGCCCTCCAGCGATACCTGGCGAGAAAAAGAAACTTGAATCAAATCAAATCAAAAATGACTTTATTTGTTAGAACCATTCTCGCTTTAGATCAGGTGAGATGCAGGCCAAGAGCTTCCTCGTTGCAGATATAAAATAAGTAGTATTTTTTACAGTGGGCATGGCACAAAGCTCGTAGAGCTGACGGCCGCTGGGGCAGGAAAGTTCTTGAGTGGCGCCCACGAGCTGGAAGACGTAGTGTGGGCAGGCCTCCCACTAGGTGGACCGATGATCTGGTGAAGGTCGCGGGAGGAGCGGCGCAGGACCGGTCTTTGTGGAAATCCTTGGGGGAGGCCTTTGTCCAGCAGTGTACGTCTTTCGGCTGAAACGAACGAACGAAGTACTTTCAATTCAAATTTTGATCTTAAGCTCTTCGAGAAAAACATTTGGCAAGTGCTGAGTTAGGTACCTATCTATTTCTACATGTTAATTTATAATACTCTACGTCAGGTTGGAAAGAACGTTCTATGTACGCATACAATAGTGAATCTAACCTACAATATGATAAGACGTCATTTGGCGTGAGGGTTTCTATTTTATTTTTATTATTTAACTAAAATCATACACTACAGTCATACTTGTCATGTTTATACTCGTATGCCGATACGTAAGTTAGTAGGATGGTACAAAGGCAATCCATTACCGAATACAGAAGAACTAAATACTTATAAAAGTAATTGATATTTACAGAACGAACAGAAATGCATCTTCTTATTGCACGGCTATAAAACATCAACTTCGACTTTGGCTATCAATTGCATCTGGAAAATTAATAGAATTACCTGAATTAACAGAATAACCTTATTTGAAACTGTTACATTACATTAAACAGTTAAGCGGGCTTAAGGATTTTTAGCTAGCCACAAATTGTCACTTGCTGTTTGAAGTTTCGCGGTACGTCACAAAGTGCTACACTTTTAAACACGCCTTAACGTCACGGCCCACTTCTTTTGAACATTGGCGCCCTTTATCTCTTGCAATTTTCATTAGTTTGAAAAAGTGAAAAACACGTGTCGAGTATTTTTTGATAAGTTAACTGACGGACTAATGCCCGTTTTCACCATCAATCCCTAACTTTTAAGTGACCCCTATGGTAACACATAACAGGAATTTTGTTTTTGTAGGGGTTACTTAAAAATTTGGTATTGATGGTGAAAACGGGCATAATTCAAACTCTTGCTTTTTTACCCACGAAACATTCCTATTCTTACTCACATCAGTGTCATGGTGGACCTGCTGCTGCAACTCCAGCGCTTCCAGCAGCCGCTGCAGCTGCTGCACGGACAGCTGAGCTTGACCCAGCTCTCGGGACGCGTTCTCGAGGGGGCCGCCCGATTCTGAAATGGTGTATTGTTATTATTATTTGGTACTTGGGACACAGACCAGGATCAGTCGTTGCGTGTAAATCTTTATAGGAGAGGCCTTTGTCCAGCAGTGGAAATCCTTTGACTGAAACGATTTGAACAAAGGTACTCCTCCAATTGTTTCAGATTGGTAAGCTTGAAGAGGCCTGCATTCAGCATCTTTATGAGGTCATCTGTCCGTGGCGTGTCCACACATGCCGCCGGCTTTCAAAATGCCTTGCCAGTGTGCCGTCCTGGCCGCCGGTTTGGCCGCCGGCCGTGCCACCTGGCACGTGTGGATGCGCCATTAACCTTGACTATTTTATGACAAAAAACTTAAAAGAAAATCATAATGTATCAAGCACCAAAACTGACTGACAAGACAAGAGTTAATGTATTTGGGTTTATAAGTTGGCGCTACTGTAAAAAGGTACCGTTAAGCATTACTGGCTAAGACAGTGGCGCCAACTGGTGAAGACAGAAGCGGTAGGTCAGTTACACTTGCATTCACCAGGTTGGCACCACTGTAGAGTTAGGTCCTTTCAGTCGCAAGTGGCGCCAACTGGTAAGCGCAAATGTATTTTTATTAATGAAATCTGGCAATTACTAAATAAAGGGTCAGGGAAGCTTGCATAGGTAAATAATAATCTAATAACAATAGGGTAGTTGACACCACCAATCAATTCACATGCTTTTTATGAGCTATCAAAAAGCGATGTCCAAATGTATGACAATTGACATCAATATGTCAAACCTAAAAAATCTTAATTTACTTATAATTGAGACCTGACTGGGTCTTTACAATTTTGGGTTCTTTTACAGCTGTATCTTGGAATTACTGATCAATGTCAACTACCCAATTTTAGTCCCGGTTTCCACCGAGGCGGAGCAGAGCGCAGAAGTGTTTTGATTAACTAATCAGACGTCATTATTTCCACTTCTCCGCACAGCTTTGCTCCGCGCCACAAATTCTTTAGAAAAATTTGACGGCTCGACACTTCTCTTGCTCTGCCTTGGTGGAAGGGCCTTAGAATAGCATTTTACTCATCCATCCATACCTATGATCCAGCTAGCCAGCCGTCCGCCAGGGGTGCCAGACACGAAGCCAGCTTGGGGCCCCCGAAGGGGCGGCGAGGTGGGGCTAACCAGCCCTACAATGAAACACATGTAGCGAGCAGGAGGGCTATGGACTTTTGATGCTTTTGACTCATAAAACTCATATTTTTTTAATAGAATAGAAAACGTTTTATTTGAAATAAAGGCATACAAGCAGGCAGACATAGATACATACAGAGAGAAATACACAAGTGGACAGAACTGCTTGTGCCCCTCTGACAAAAAAGCACCCGCTCAGCGTACATCAAGACCGCCAGGGCTTGTCTTGAAACTGATTTTTGCAAGTAGCCTTTTATAAAGCACTTTCACACGTCCCAGTATTAACCCTACCACTGCTTCAGGACGATAAATGGGGCCAGTGCTGAGAAACAGCGAAAAGCAGTTACATTTGTCTGTTTTTGAACAGTTTTATGTTTCTGCAAGCAATATACTACTATCTCGTATTGAATTTTGTTTTTGAGATAGAAGATAGCCGTGTCTAATATGTATCAGAAATATAGTCATAGTTTTTTTCCGCAATTTAAAGCGCTTTTACGCCTTTTTGTAAAGTTAATAACTCTCTTATTAATTGATGAAAAAGTCCATAGCACTCTAAATAAATGTGCATGAGCATCAAACCAAAGGGGGTATTTCAAAACCCAATAGAAACATGAATAACTTCAAAATCATTTTCGATTGAGTTTTACAGCAAAAAGCTTGTGAATCAATATTCACTAAAATACTTAATTTTCTAGCAGTAAAAAGTTAATCTCACAAGCTTTTTGGGAAGAAAAATCTCATGCATTCAAATGGGGGTCAATTCTAGAAGAAATATACCTACCACAGTTCTATAAATGGGTTTTGTCACGAAAAAAGCATGTGTGAAGTCTATATTACTTTCTACATAAGGAATTTTGTAAAGTATGACGAATCGACAGTAACCCCTATTCTCATAATCTAATATTAAATAGAAACCACACTTCGGACATGAAATCAAAACTATACCCACTAATGAATAACCTACTAAAACTCTATCTATAGGTACTACAAGTATAATCCTACAAAAATCAAAAATAGATTTAAAATGCTACTCCTTTGACAAAAATCTCTTCTACCTATTTAGGACTGTCTAAGGTCTAACAGCTAATCATAGAATTTTGACATTTACAGACTATCATTTAATCTAACCAGAACAAAATACTATTTTTACGATTGAAACTAGACTATTTATTTGGAAAGTCTAACCAGAACAAAAGGAAGGCTCGCTGTTGCATCGATATATCGTTTTCAAATCGTCACTCTGCTCTCTCGTCACAGACAACGAATCCATCATCGAATTTGATTTCTGCAGCGGTTCCTTCGCGCCCAAAAATACGTGGTACACCTTAAACTCATTGCACGCATTGTATTCGTTCGCTTTTACATCTTTACTGTGTCTCAATATTATTTTGTCTGTCTGCGACTGCGTAGAAACCCTTACCGACGGCGATAAAGCATTAATACCTTTTACCAACTCTTTTCTAACACAGATCACAGCATTCCTGTTAGATATTTTTGGGAAATCCCTCTCAATGGTCACCAGTTGGACATTTTCGAAATTCTTTGCCGGCGCAATCGAAAATTTCGGTTCAGGAGGATCCAAAATAGTTTTGATTATTGTACTCATCGCACAATCTTTGGTTGATACCTTTTTAGGCCATACTGGACAGGATACAGCTTGTTCAGTCGTGACTTTTTGATTCGGCATATTTTGTAAAGACTTGGATTTTCTGCCTAAATGCTCTTTAGAAAATCCTATGTGCGAAATTGATATTTTTAGCTTCACTTCGTTTGTCTCTTGTACCTTTTCTGTTTGGACTTCTTCAGTTTTGATATCGTTCTTCAAAACGGTTGTGCTAATAGATTCATCAGTGAGATTTTTCGTGGTTAGTAAAATATCAGAAGTCTTCACAGATACTTCTTGAATTTTAGGAGGATTGTTCATTGTTTCGTTGAATTCAGCTTCATCAAATTGAGTTCCACGGTCATTTGGTTTGAAATCGTCATTGTATATGCGACCTAACAGACTCAATCCTTGGATATTGCATCCATTGCGGACGACTTTTTCGTGTTTCTTTTTAAGCTTTAAAAACAAAGCATTTAGGTCTTTATACAGACTTGGAAGATTCTTAGAGAGAAGCGTAAGGTTTTCTAACAGTAAAAGGATGAACTTTTCATCTATAACTTTAGGAGTGGGTTGTTCAAACACCGAGTATTCTTCAGGGTATTTGGTGCTTGAAGACTGAATTGGTGAACGAATCTGAGGTCCCAGAACCAAGCCATTGCTGTGCTTTAAATGCACTTTCTTCTTCTTTTGTAACGGAGTTGAAACAGTATTCTTCTTGAAAGAAGAAACGATGTAACAAGACGTGTCTTCGTTGTCTTCAGGATAGTCTTTTTTGAAGAAGTTACTGCTTTGGAAAGATAGATCAATAGAATGCTCGCTTTCATGTACAATATGACAGTAAGGTCTAGACGATGCGTTGCTGCTACTTATGTAGGGTTTTAGTTCAATCATGTCTTTAGGACAATTGGGATCGTAGTCATACAAGTTTTGTTTATAGCTTACATCGATTGGTTCGAAAATTTTCTTCAAAGAATTGTTATCCAAATTCTGCAACCAATCGTCGGAATGGGTTTGCGGCGTTAAATTTTTACTTTCATTGCAAAATTTCAAACTAAGCTGACGTTGGGATTCTCCAAAATTTGGCGGCTTTTCTTTAAGTTTAATCGTGATCGACATCATTCCTTTAAGTGACGGATCACTGAACATCGATATGTGCTCCAAATCATACTTGGACAGGTCTATAACGACAGAGTTTTCATCATAATTTTCACGTATAAGATTTTTCCCATGATACTCTTTTACTGGTCTTCCTAATTCATCTTTGGGTACGTTATTTTTGTCTCCTGTTGATTTATCGTTATTATCAAAGTTTTTAGGGTCGCCTTTGCCGACTTTGGAAAATATAGTTGTGATTTTATCAAGAATATCTTTTAGGTACTGTTCTCCAGGATCTGCAGTATTACTCAGTTGATTGGCATTGTCCCCAAAGTTGGTAGTGGTGATATTTTTGGATATTTTTCTTTGGACTGATTCTGTTTGGACTTCGCACATAGGAGGTACGTTTTTGTTGCACTTTTTATCATCACTCGATTGCGAACTGCTGTGTGTCATACTCTTACTACTTTCATTTAGGAGTACGCTTAAATAAGCATTTAAGAGTTCTTTAGCAACATCCGGTGGCATTGACGTTTCACTAATAAGGTGATTAATAGTTTCTTGTATTTTAGGCAGTTCCGATGAAGAATTAGATTTGTCTAGACCTTCGTTTAAATTGTTCAAGCCAGACCTTTTAGATAGTTTCTCAAGGTTGTCTATGAGTCTTTTGGTTATTTTTATGTCTTTTTCTCTACTTTGGTTACTGCGCACTGTTTCACACACGTACACTGTGTTCTTAAGTATTCTTTCAAGTTCTTGTATTCGACGCTCTTTTTCGAAACTTTCTGTGTCTCGTTTAGGGCTGTGACATCTAATTGCTTTCTTTTCTAGTTTTGGTTTTGGCAGATTAGATTTGGGAGCTTTAGTAGGCATTTGATCTGCGACTTCATAGTCGTTTATGAAGTCACTCACACCGTGAAACTGAGTTTGCTTTGTAGCATTTTGCAGAAGAAAACTGGACAAAATTTTATCTTGTGTAAAGTGTCTATTTGATGGTTTATGTACTGATTTGACACGTTTCATCGCCTCTTTGAATTGTTCGCCGCTTGTATTTTTCAGCCAATACTCTAAGAGTGATCTAAATAGCATTTTTACTGGATGAACATCTGTTTGACTGAATTTGACATTGTACAATTCCTTCACGACTTGACTAATGTAGTATTTGAATTCGTTGTTATTAGAATTGCGTGTTATTTTATGATTTTCGAATAGTGAAATCATAAGGTGTTCAGTTATTTTGTCATATTCTGACACTGACATTAGATCTTGTAGTGATTTATGTTCTTTATCTTCAACAGCTTGTACTTGATTGTGTTCTTTGGGAATGACGTCACCGCCTACACCGCGATGGAAGAGTTGGTTAATATCCTTGTTAGGACTCTTTGCTCTATGTTTCTTGAGTAACAAACATTTGCTCAACGGTTCTTTAAGTTTCGGCTCATCGACCATATTTTTGTATTTGACCAGATTAGTGCACTTTTTGCTCTTCTTCATTGGAGGTTCTGTTAGGGAGTTTGCTGTATTGCGTTTTTTTCGCGAGAAAAAGTAATATGTAGTAGCTGGTCCAGTAGTATCTGTATAGGCTTTCTTTTTGGTATCTTTTGTCTCTGTCTTTTTGATAAGTTTTACCTTTTTCGCACACGTGCATATATTGTGAGAGTTTGATTCCAAGTCCGTGATATGCATCTGTTTTTCAGCATTTGTGCTGCCAGAAACATTTTTCACGCGAACGTCATTTATGTTTAATCTCGTGAAGCAATTCATAGAGCATAGACTACGGTTATAGTGATGTGGGTCACTGAACTTTTCAACAGCGTTAAATCGCCTTTGGAAGTTGAAGAACACTAGCTTTCTTTCTTTATTTTGGAAATGCCACTGAAAGGGGTTCTTCAAGGGGTGGTTTTTGACTACATATTCTGCTTTCGGAGTTTGGGACGAAGGGGAATTGCTGGATTCGGGTATATGGGCATCTTCGGTGGAAGTCAAGGTAGAAGTTGCGAAACTTATACGGGATGTGCCTAAGAAAGAGATAGAAGATGAAATAGAGAGCAAACGCATTCATGACAAAGTTCATTCAAAACATGTTGTGGATACTTTGAACAGCTTTTAGTTACTATAGATCTAGCGTTTAGCTCAGTTAGTGCCTAAGGTATGGGAGGGGCACGGGAGGGTGTTTTTGTGACGGTCAAACGCCAGCGAGACTTCAGATTTGTATGCTCTGTCACGCAAAAATACACTGGTCATCATAAAAATCGACCCACCCGCGACAAGCACTTTCAAACGTATGCATCCCCACTTCCCACCAATATTACTATACTATATTACCATTTAAAAGCCTAGTTCTAAACTTCATTTCATTAAAGGAAAGGTTTTTACCCCAAAAATGTGTCTGTAGAAGAATCCAGAGTCACTTCTTCAAAAAATAGGTAGTTACGCTTGAGCCAACTTTTATGGCTATAAAACTGTTAAGTTGGAATTAATCGCTATCCATCTGTTAAAGAGGACACGTGAGATCATTATTAATTTGGTTTTATAACCATAAAAATTGGTCTAATTGATCCCAGAGGTGAGCCCAAAGTGAGGTCTTTTTTCAAGTTTTTCAAGTCACATTTATTGTATATGTTAATCGTTTATTAGGAAATTAAATGTGTTTTTCTTTAAGGATATTTATTGGGCTTTCAAATAACACCAATATTGTTGGGGCACCATGATTGTGTCAGTAGAAACGAGTTTTCCTGTAAAACGTAGGTGGGCCGATTTTTGTGATGACGAGTGTATGTCAAAATCACCCCTCCCGTGCCGCTTCCATATTTCAGGCGCTGACCCAGTTAAGCGTAAGTAAGTAGAATATAAGTATCAGTGATTCTTTTACAAAATCAGTGAGGAGCTGTTCAAAATACCACCACATTCTACCAAGGAACTCTCAAACACGCATGCTTGGCCTACCAGTCACACTATGCTATCAAAACCATTACACACTGTGTGTTTACCATGAGTTTACGCTAGGTGTGCTCGCTAGCGAATACGTCAAAAAATCTATGAAGACTTTAGGTCTTGAAAATAGCCGCTAGGGGCGCTGTACAATCTGTCATACATTTAATGTAATTTTTTTAATCTTCCAGCGTCTTGGCCTACTTTTAGCTTGGTCCATGGCCCAAGTTGCTGGTATGATTTTTTAAATTAGAATCATAGAATGGACCCAGTTTCTGGAAGAAAAAATATTTAAAAATTCAATCCGGTGACTTGGCCAGTGGAGTTGGACTTGGCAAGCTAAAAGTGGCCCAAGACGATGGAAATCTCTCTGTAAAATCTGTCAATTTAATGTAATTTTTTACGCAGTCGCTAGCGAGCACACCTAACGTAAACTCATGGTAAGCACACTGAACTATGTTTACACTTACGGGAGGAGGTCTCTGTGGGAGGTAGGTCCTCTAAAGGCGCGTGGATCTTTGGCACCGACTCCCGCGCACCAAACGTTAGCAGATGCTGGCGGTACAGTCTGGAATAATGTTGGCCTTTTAGTGTTGGTTGTTGTGAATATATTTTGAACTTTATTGGGGATCGAATCAGGAATGAGGAGATCCGTAAGCGAACCAAAGTCGCTGACATAGCCCGACGGATTAGCAAGCTGAAGTGGCAATGGGCAGGGCACATAGTACGCAGAACTGACGGCCGATGGGGCAGAAAGGTTCTGGAATGGAGGCCGCGTACCGGAAAACGCAGCGTGGGACGTCCACCTACAAGGTGGACCGACGACATCGTAAAGGTAGCAGGGAAGCGCTGGACGCAGGCCGCTACCAATCGATCAACATGGAAAGCATTGGGGGAGGCCTATGTTCAGCAGTGGATGTCCTATAGCTGAAATGATGATGATGATGATGATTTGGGTACAATAAGACTCTATACTGGTTGGAGGGAAAAAATCATTGAAAGAACTAAATAAAAGTGGACCTTATCGCGTCAGATAGAAGACTCATTTATCTGTGCATTTTCACAAATCCCGTGATAGTGGTACATGCTTGTCTATGTCGATGCGTCGGCGCCGTTTTCACTGTCAAAGGAATGTGGTGAACCCTTGTAGTGTGGACACTTGCAGCCTAGAGCGAAAGACATGAAACTGTTGTGTCGTACCAATGTCGATTCGACCTTATATTGCCAAACAGAAGACTCATTTACCTGAATATGTCCTGCGTTTATATTGATGCGCCAGCGCCGCTTTCTCAAAGAGATCGGGACCTTATTGTGTTAGATATGAGGTTTATGTTTTATTTTACCTGTGCGCCTTCAGCACGCTCAGCCAAGTCCGGAAGACGTCCTGCGTCTTCGCACGCAGGTGGTATATGAACTCGTCCGCGTCTATATCGATGCGCCGGCACCGCGCCTTTGCGACAGAGGAATCTGAATATTATCGCGTAAGAAATAAGACTCATTTAACTGTGCGCCTTCGGCACGCTCAGCCTTTTAGCGCTCTGGTGGTATATGAACCTATAATCGTCTATGTTTAATGTTTATGCGCCGGCGCCGCTTCTACTGAGCCAATAGAATTCGTGCCTTATTGTGTTGGACAATAGGTTTATTTTACCTGTGCGCTTTCAGCACACTGAGCCAAGTCCGGAAGACGTCCTGCGTCTTCGCATGCAGGTGGTATACAAACTCGTCCGCGTCTATATCGATGCGCCGGCGCCGTTCTCTTTTACACAGAGGAATATAGACCCTATATGATCAGACATAAGACTCATTTACCTGTGTGCTTTCAACACGCTCAACCAAGTCCGGAAGACGTCCTGCGTCTTCGCTCGCAGGTGGTATATGAATTCGTCGGCATCGATATCGATGCGCCGGCGCCGCGCTTTCGCCGAAATGACTGAGAGACCCACATCTACGGAACCGTGCAGGCGGCCTCGGGCCACGCCCATTGTGTCAAAGGAATGTGGACTTTACCACCTTCAAAATAAGACTCATTTACCTGTGTGCCTTCAGTACGCTCAGCCAAGTCCGGAAGACGTCCTGCGTCTTGGCACGCAGGTGGTATATAAACTCGTCGGCGTCGATATCGATGCGCCGGCGCCGCGCCTTGGCCGAAATGACTGAAAGACCGACATCTACGGAACCGTGCAGGCGGCCTCGAGCCACGCCCATTGTGTCAAAGGAAAGTGGACCTTACCATCTTAAAAATAAGACTCATTTACCTGTGTGCCTTCAGCACGCTCAGCCAAGTCCGGAAGACGTCCTGCGTCTTCGCTCGCAGGTGGTATATGAACTCGTCCGCGTCGATATCGATGCGCCGGCGCCGCGCCTTGGCCGAGATGACTGAGAGACCCACATCTACGGAACCGTGCAGGCGGCCTCGGGCCACGCCCATTGTGTCAAAGGAATGTGGATCTTACCATCTTAAAAATAAGGCTCATTTACCTGTGCGCCTTCAGCACGCTGAGCCAAGTTCGGAAGACGTCCTGCGTCTTCGCTCGCAGGTAGTATATGAACTCGTCCGCGTCTATATCGATGCGCCGGCGCCACATCATTTGCGACAGACGAATGTAGACCTAATGACGTTGGATAGAAGGCGCATTTACCTGTGAGCTTACAGCACGCTGAGCCTCTTAGCGCGCTGGTGGTATATGAACTTATCCGCGTCTATATCGATGCGCCGGCGCCGTGCATTGACGACAAACGAATGTGGATCTTATGACCTTAGACAGAAGGTTTATTTTACCTGTGAGCCTTTAGCACGCTTAACCAAGTCCGGAAGACGTCCTGCGTCTTCGCACGCAGGTGGTATATAAACTCGTCGGCGTCTATATCGATGCGCCGGCGCCGCGCCTTGGCCGAAATGACTGAGAGACCCACATCTACGGAACCGTGCAGGCGGCCGCGTGCGACATCTGTTGGCGACCGCGCGTATACTAGTATACCGCCGTCTACTACGAAGAAACGCTGGAAGAAAGAAAGAACGCTTTGTAACTAACTTTACTTTAACAAACTGTATTAATCAGGGTCATCATGCATCCTGCAATGGACTTTAATAATATACGTTCGATATTAAACAACTTGCGAGTTTACATGCCAATTTAATCACAGTCGTAGAGGTATTCATAAATTATTTTAGCCACAAGACGTCCATTTCTTAGAACACAGGCCACTCCCAATGACTTCCAGATTAACCGGTTGGAAGCGGCTTACATCCAGCGCTTTCCTGCAACTTTTATAAGGTCATCATATCATAATAATATAGGTCTTTATCTTTGTTGTGGAAATCATTTGGGGAGGCCCTTGTCTAGCAGTGGACGTCATTTGGCGGAAAACAACGATCGAACGAATCATTGCAGACAAAATAAATTATTGCTTTACCAATCGAGGAATGCAGTATTCAAAAATGACCACGCATGATAGGTAGTTACTTCTCAGCAAAGTTATAAGTATTAATTAATTACCTTGTGCCATCCCTTGAGCGGCCATTTGCGCTTCTTATGCAGGTACCCGTTGAAGACGTCCGGCCGTTTCTCGAAGCGCTGGCCGTCTTTTAAGCCCTCAAGCACCTCCCATTCGCTGCCACGGCGACGGCTGAGGCAAAAGATATTAAATGGATTAAATTAAAAATGACAAATCAGCGCAGGCAGATTTTGTTAAGTTATTCTGTTGGTTTCGTTGATGAGCTGTTCAGGCTATCCTTCATGTTCCTGGGTTTCAAGAGAGTAAGCTTTCTTCGGGGACAACTCAACCTTCACTGAAGTTCACTGGTTGGGTTTCATTAGATGCTCAACTGTAGATAGAGGTTATAAACGACATGCATTGGTAGGAATACCTATTTAAATACAGTGCTTCTTCTAACAGGAGTAATCCCACCATACCACAGGTAGCGGAGTAACAGGTCTCAATCTCCTTCTCACTAGTTAGAAGATCGTGAGGCAGTGGTGTGAGATCTCTTAATTTCTCTAACATTAGAGAAGCTAGCCACGTCTCTCCCACACTTAATGCAGACTAGAGGGAAGATCCTGAGTGTATTTCTCCCTCATTCACCTCTCACCTGCGCGACTTAGTGATCCTGGTGGGCGGTGGCACCGGCCGGACAGCTCGATCGCCGCTGTCGGCGGACAGCGAGGCGGTTTCACCAGAACAGTCTACTGCTAAATGCTACTGACGGAAACTAGGGCAACAACTCTCTCATACTAGTGGGGAATCCTGAGGCAGTGCTGAGCGATGTCTCGTCTCTCTCTCACTAGAGGGGGAACCGTGAGGCAGTAGCGTGCGAGGTCTCTCTCTTCGGATCGTGAGTGGCTAGCTTTTATTCACTCTTACTAGGGGGAGGGTCTCACCTGCGGGTCTTAGGCCGGAGCAGACATAATTCCACCTAGCAACGATGAAGAGGCAGAGGTGAGAGTACTGAGAGCTCTCTTTTCCTCACATTACAGGGGGATCATGAGGCTGTGACATGTGATCTCTTTCTCAACTTAAAGGGGTCTCAATCGTTAAGCAGTTGTGACTTACCTGCGCGACTTGGTGATCCTGGTGGGGGGCGGCACCGACCGGACAGCTCGATCGCCGCTGTCGGCGGACAGCGAGGCGGTTTCACCAGATTCACCAGAACAATCCACTGCTAAATGCTACTGAAGGAAATTAGGGCAACAACTCTATCACACTATAGGGGAATCCTGAGGCAGCGGTGAGCGATGTTTCGTCTCTCTCTCACTAGAGGGGGAACCGTGAAGCAGTGGCGTGAGAGGTCTTTCTCTTCGGATCGTGAGTGGCTACGTGGCTAGCCACATTTCTCTCTCTTTTATCGTGACTTTTACCTGCGCGATTTGGTGATCCTGGTGGGCGGCGGCACCGGCCGGACAGCTCGATCGCCGCTGTCGGCGGACAGTGAGGCGGTTTCACCAGAACAGTCCGAGTCGGACGGCGCGCGCCGCAGCGCCGCCGCGCGTCCGGACGCACCACGTCGTCGCTCTCCTGGAAACGTACAGAAATAATAATATGGATTCAGTACTGGCTGAATGGTTCTGGCAGAGAATATGGGACCGCCCTTACTCTTCCCTTATGATGACTGAAACCTGTTTCATTCTTAACAGTATAGTCACCGAACGCACTCTCCTAGAATGGGACAGAAATATGGATTCAGTCACGCCCGGAAAACCCGTAATACGCAATGGGCAGGCCTCACACTATGGACCGACGACATGGAAGGTCGCTAGAAGTACCTGCATGCGGGCAGCACATGACCGTTAGTGGCCTTTTTTTCAGCAGTGTACTTGCTTTGGCTAAAATGATAATGTATTTAAGTATTGGCCGAGTGGCTCTGGCTGAGTAGATTGGGATTATCCCCTCATCCATACAAAGGATGACTGACACCTGTTTTTCACTTCTTACTCTATGGTTAGCAGGACACAGACCTACTCCGAACTAAGAGACGTCTTCATATACCTGACTTTTTGGTACACTGACAGTCTGACATAGTCACAAATTTTTCCCACCAACCTGTAACGGAACAAAGCAGCGAAGTGAGCTCCATATTTTTTTCCGAATGAGATATTCTGATCATACCTACTCCATCTCCGAACCAACTCCGTATACACTAACTGACATTCTAACTATTCGAGATTAGTGATGTCGCTCAATTCATTATCGATAGATGGGCTATAGTTGTCGATAAAACTATCGATAATCAAAAAGTGGTAAAGCTATTCCAATTTCTTTATGGACAATCCCTGTGAATCGCGTAGAGAGCCATGCAGTGAAATATTATCGATATTAATTAGTATTAAGGCATGACAGTTGTTACGCTACACTATTTTCAACGTGTATCGATAGCGAACAATATCGATGGTTTTAAACTATTGACAAAAACTTATTTCATTTTTGTTGATAATAATATTGTACGCCATCCAATTACTAAAATTGTTCATGTAATTTCTTAACATTTTATCCAATAAATATTTTGATCTATCGACAATATAGCATCACTATTCGTGCCATTGCTATGGTCACATCAACAATATTTTCATTGTGTACTAATTTGCGAATAAATTAAATTAGACACACTGGTTTTCAACGATACTGAGCCAGTGGTTTGTTTGCTGCTACAGAATAATAATTGCTAGAAGTCTTAGAGCAACCTAAAGCAAAAGCAACCCTGTTTAACGGAGATAGGGTACAATCTAGCTTGGCATGTTCAGGTTTACCCAGTATATGAAAATATGAAAAGCACGTGCAAGCAACAATGAGCTGAATTACATAACAAAAGGGCTGATTTTTCTTTGATTATTGAAGCTGACAGTGATATCACATTATTATTGGTGGACGGGGGAAAAGGGAATGTTACGTCATCCTTCATTAATGACGTTGTTATGATTCAGTTTCAGTATTAGAAGTACACAGGCTTAGATAGACCAATGGATAGTCAGAGAAAATCAGAGTAGAAATTGTTGCTGCAAAATAAACCTTTTACAACTACTTGAGTTATCAGTGTCAAGCTTGATATGCTGACGACTCAAAAAAGAATTAAGGCTGGGTTTGCACATCAAGAAACGTCAAAAATCTGTCAAACTCCATACAAAAACACCGGTTATCGTTATAATTACGTTTAAAGTTATAGTGGTGCTGGGTGTAACTCAGCCTAAGAATAGAGTTAAGGCATAGAGAACTCGGGAAAACTGGGTACTTTTTAGGGTTCCGTAGTCCTGACAAGGAACCCTTATTCATTAATATGTTAAAGCCTCAGGATGGGTAGCTAGGGGTCATTGGACAAAATTCTACGTGCTCACAGACCAGACTATAGCACGTGCAGATTGTCAAACTTGAGCTATAAAACAAAGTCAAAGTATCAATAATAGTCAAACACAATACATTTAGTACACCCAGCAGCACATAAACCCTATCCTACTAAATCAACCTTAAACCCTTTTAACAAAGTTCATCAGTCACAAGTAGACAAACCCGTGCGGTTGACTGTACAGATGGCAGATCAATCTAAACAATTTGGCTCTTATTCAGTTATAATAGGATATATTTTGCAATAAAAATGTACAGTCTGTCTGTACATTAACAGTGGCGAAGTGGCGTTTGTCTACGCGCCTTTGTTAGCTGAAATTATAGGGTTGCCAACCGTCCGGATTCCCGGGATTTGTCCTAGTTTAACGCGTCCGGGCGGGGTTTCATTTGTTGTCCGGGCATAAAAAATGTAAGTCTTAAGCCAATGCCTTAAGCCTAGGCGCAGACCACTGACTTATAGTCAGCCGATAGTTGGGCCCGATTCTAATTTGTATGAAGAATCGGCCGATACCAAATCGTTGTAATGTGCGCACTTACATACATCTTAATACTGATTAAAAGCCCGACCAACTACAAGTCGATGGTCTGCGCCTATCCTGCGTTGGATATGTTTATAAAAACCTGTTGACATATCCGAGTTCTTCGATCTCTTCGTATGTTTTTCTGATTAATTTCGTTGCGGGTCCAAACTTGACCTTAACTGGTTGGGTTTTTATTGGCGGTCAAGCTATAGATCCTGGCTACACAGGAGTTGCAGCGGTGGCAACAAATGGGAATAGTCCCATATCCGAGTTCGGGGCTATTGTTCCGTGTATCGAATATTGTGAATGCTCTTCATTTATTCAATTCGAAATATTTGTAAGTATGCACCCAAATACGGGGTAATATTAAGGGGTTAGAAATAAAATAAGGGAGTAATCATTCATACTATTTTAATAAAATTATTTTTGTTCCATCATGTTTATCCATTTTGAGTCGTTCTCTGTAAGCTTTTTGCCTTTCGGCATTGGTTTTTGGCGGCATTCCTAAAAAAACAAAAGAAGTAATCACATAAAAACGTAATCTAAATGATTTGATAATTTTTTGCTGGTGGCACTTCTGTAAAGCAGATAGTATCCAATCCTTTTGTTAATAACGCTCTATATTTATTGAAATAAATTAAGTAGTGAATATTACTATGGTTAGTCAGGTAATAACAGTATATACACTCAGCATTATGTTGTACTTTTTCGTAACGTAACGAAATTCGTAAAAAACGTAACGAAATATTAGACAAAATGAGATCAGAAACAAGTATTTTTTTGATAAAATTTGTTACAGCAAATATAAAAGCTTACTAAATGTTCGTACCACACGTATTACAAAAAATGGTTAAATGAAGACTTACCGTTCTATATAAAATCGCTGATTTTACTGCCTGTTACGAAAAAGTAATCCCACAAAACACACACGTTTTCACTAATTTTCGCGATAGATGTTATGGCGGAGACGTCAGGCCAACAGCCATTCAGAGTGCAGCTATTGTTGTCCGTGTAAAATAAATACGGAATTGTTCAGAAACCATGGGAAAGTAGAAATAAATCGTAACTAAAGAGTAAATAACGAAATAGTAAATGAGAGCGACTCATTTTGTTTTTTTGCTTTAAATTGCCAATTCATTATGACACCCCATAGAAAATCAATTTGATACAGAAACTGCGATTACTGTAGAACGATAATACAAAGAAATTTACAATAATTTAGTTACGTATCGCATTTTATGAAACAAAAATACATGAAAAAGCTAGGGTGGCAAACAGGTTTTTGTATGAAAGGTAAAAAAGGACTATTTTTAAAATATCTAAATATTTGGTAATAAGTAGGATTATAGCTATAATTCTTCGTTATCTTAAAGATTAATATTCATCCTTCAAAATTGTGTGTGTGTTTTTTTTGTGTGATGATTTATAAATATAAAACTTTTGAACTGTTTCAAAGCACACTTTTTTTTTTCAAAATGTACATTTTTTTTGAGAAATACTCAAATATATTTGAATTTGTGCTCTTCTTATTTATAATTTTACTTACTTTCATTTTGTCTTTATCGACAATACTGTTCATGTGATATTGCCCATTAACAGATGTACAGACAGACGACGAACGAAGCCTTACAAATAGGGTTCCGTTGGCACCCTTTGTACGAAACCCTGAAAACTTTTCAGTGAAGTTATGTCTGTTTGGCAGCTTTGGCAAGAGTTACTCGTAGCTAACCATTATTGGACGACCTAAAGTTGACCTAGATATTGCTAATCGTTTTGTATGGAACTAATGGAACCATACACTTTGGCTAGTTGCTTTGTTACTCTGTCACTTTGTCAAGTTAGAGACGAGGCCGTCTAATTTGCTTTATGTATTTTTTGGCAAATGTTAAGTAAACTTTAAAAAGTACATTAGTAGAGTTTTTACCAAACAAATAAGAATATGCGGTGCATGAGGTCATGTGCAGACAAAATTTATACCCTTGCCTAACCTACCTAGTTGAATTTTATCAATACATTTTGTAGTCAATTTTTATAGGATTCAAATAAGAAAGGGTCTAGTCACTAGTAGTCACATTCGGCAGATTCATATTATGTTCTGATTGCTCATATAATAAAGATTTTATTTTAACTATCACACTTATAAACTAACTAGCTTTCCGCCCGCGGCTTCGCCCGCATGGAATTTTGTCTGTCACAGAAAAACTTTATCGCGCGCGTCCCTGTATCAAAAACCGGGATAAAAACTATCCTATGTTCTTTCCCGGGACTCAAACTATCTCTATGCCAAATTTCATCAAAATCGGTTGCGAGGTTTAAGCGGGAAAGCGTAACAGACAGACAGACAGACAGACAGACAGAGTTACTTTCGCATTTATAATATTAGTTGGGATAGTTGGGATTGAGAATGAATACCGCGTCAGTCGTCTATTGAAAAATGCTATGTCCCAAACTCCTGCACAGATCCAGAAATTAAATTATGCAAAGGTAAGTTCGTGTGTACTGTGTACTCACTGCGGCACATATAAATCACGTATTGTACAGGTTTGCACTATTCGCACGGAGCGTCCCAGTTTTTAGGTCAGCTGCATTTTAATGTGCCATAAATGCAAACTTTTAAGGCACACAAGTTTAGGGTTGCCAGGTGTCCGGCTTTAGCCGCACTGTTTGGCTTTTTACGGACGTGTCCGGCCAAATATTTTTTCGTCCGGCCTTTTTAAGGCTTTTTATGTGGCTGCAGGGCCTTTTGAATAACGCAGTAGACACTGGCTAACATAAATATACCTAATGTTTCATGTAGGCAATGCCAAATTAACCCATAAGAAAATTAAGCAATTGCTAAGTGCATGACTGTTGAGAGACCAAAAAGGGTATAAAAAATTTGTTAGCACATAAAAATTAAGGGTTGTACGCCCATGAATATCTTTTAGGATAAAATTAAGAACAGAGTACGGCTTTTGGGTTTTTGGGCATGGCAACCCTACACAAGTTCCATCTAAGTTGGCCGTCAGTACGACATTATTATTTGCCTAATATAGGCTAAGTTGGAAAATTCTGCAGCATTGTATTTGGTCACGGTATATGAATAAGGGACTTGCGTATTTGGATCGCGAGCGTTGGTTGCGCAACACCGATTGGGTAGTAGACACTATTAACCAATGATTCGAAGGCATAAATTCTAAAAAAATACTTCATTTTAATTTTTAACACCCAATTATTTTAAGTAAGCCTATAAATATTTTTTTGGTAAAAATAATCGGCTAGAGCTGTGATAATCGAATGACTGTTGTGTTAGAGTAGGTACTAGCTTTTGCCCGTGGCTTCTCAGCACTGGCCCATTTATTGCCCTGAAGCAGTGGTAGGTGGTAGGGTTAAAATAACACAAAGATATGTAAAAGTGCTTTTTAAAAGCCTCTTTGCAGATAATAATTAATTATTTTTATGATTTGTTTTTACAATTTACTTTTATGGATCGTCATTACATCTATAAATGTCACTAACTGACTCATTCATCACGAAATCTCAGAAACTATAATACCCACAAACTTGATATTTGACAGGGAGGTTCCTTATTGGGTGTAGACATCCGCTAAGAACGGATTATACGAAATTCCACCGGTAAAACGGTGTACGAAATCACGAGCGGCAGCTAGTTTTATAATATTTTTAGGGTAGTTGGAGGTACATTTTCAAAAGAAGAGTCGTTTCAAAATCAGCTATTTAGGTAAATGAAGAACGTCCTGTGAAACTGTGTGCTTATGAAAATCTGTAAGCAACTTGGGGTGAGAGTATTTTTACTGCGGCATCATTTGTTGTTTTAGGATGTTGCTCTAAACTTAGGGGGAATTGATATGAGCTGATTTGCATGTACAATATCAGATGGTAGGCTGTCCCTTTCTTCTTATCGCGATGTACCCTTTCTCGTTTGATTAGTGTCTGTAGTAAAATTCGGCGACCGTAATTTGTCTTCTTAATGACGCACACTATTTAAGCCTAATAGTAGTATAGTAACTATATCATTTGGACCTTTAGAGCCCTGTGTTAGGATCAAAAATCAACGAGCAACTAGGACTTGCTCGTCCGATTAAGGGTTAAAAATGCTTATATCGCTTTTGCGTTGATAAAAAAATCTATGAATAATTGTATGGTTTCTCTCAGTTTGGACACTACTTTGGTCATATTGTCCACACTAAGCCTAGGTGCAGACCATCGATTTTTAATCGGCCGATAGTTGGACACGATTTCAATTCATATGAAATTTAAATCGGTGTAATGTGCGCACTTCCATACATGCCCATACTGATTAACTGTCCGACTAAACTATCGGACGACAAAAAATCGGTGGTTTGCGCCTAGGCTAAACACTCTTCATCGTTTCCACTCTATAATCTTTTCTGCGATGACCTCTAAGCACTTTAAAACGCGTATTTACGATTAAAAGAAACATACAAACGAAAATAGAACCTCATCCTTTTTTAGGAAAGTTAAAAATGCGTCACTGCTTTGCCCAAGCGGCCTTACTTTGTTGAACCTGACAGATTTAATGAGAAAATTAACCGTGAAGCTCGTTTGTCTGCGACCAGATAGCGTCCAACATTGTTTTTGTTTTTGTAAAGTTAATTACTTACTGACTTCTACGAGTGGACTTTATTTGAAAGCCAACAACTTGAAATAATACTATTGTCATTGAACAACACATTTAGAAAAAAGCTATCTACTTTAACATATAGCCCTCCTATACAAAGTAACATTCATGGAACATTAAATTCCAAAATCGCTTCACGCAGCGAAGTTAGAAAAGTCTGAGCGAAGCGATTTCTAAATTAGAATTGTCACGTATTCTTTATCTAGTGGAGCTGTAGGTAAAGTTGAAGGTTACCAAAAACTGAAATGGTTTACCTTAAATTAAACTATGAACATGCCCCGATAGTGTTAAAAGTAAAGGCTCAATCAATACATATAATTAAGTTAAGTAGTAATGTATTGAAATATACAGGAAACATAATTTAAATCTTTAAATCTTGACTACACAGGACTGCAACAATGGTGGGAGCTACAAGTTGGATTATTCCTGTTACTCATACAAGTAAAGGCATGTTCTCGTAAGTATCCTGAAAATTGATTTCACAATCTGCCTCTACTTTAGACAACATAAAATTAATTACGTAATTACTCTTAAGTTGCAAATTAATCTGTCTTCATTGAGACAAAGCTCTACCAACCAATAAGGTTCTATTGTTTTCAGTTTCCCAAAACAAATGGCGTTATTTGTTATCAAGCCACAGAAATCAGAATAGGCTTTAACCACTACGCGCGCAGTTTGGCACACCCCGTCACGTGGGTCGTTGCCCCAGTTCTGCAGACCTGCAATTTGGACTAAATGGGCTAATTTTCGTGGCGAGACACGCTATAGGCTGCAGCTACGAAATTTTACGTATAATAGATTTTGTAATACCAAGCACAAATCGGTGTTCTTCCAATGATTTGGCCCATTTTTAGCTTGGTCCACGGGCCAAGTCGCTGGGTTGAATTTTTTGGGTGCTGGGTCGCTGGGTTGAAACAATATTTAAAAATTCAATCCAGAGACTTGGCCCGTGGGCTAAGCTAAAAGTGAGCCAAATCACTGGAAGACTCATCGGTAGACCAGGTTTAGACTATGGGTCTCCTATTAAACGCTACATGCGGCGTACGACGTCACCGCCAAACGTTCCATCGACGTCCCTAGTGTCGATCCATCGCCAACGTCTGAAGGTGACCACAAGAGTACATTTCTATAGTACGCATTGTGACGTGACCTATGGCGTGACCTACGGCGTTTATAGTAGACCAAAGCCTTAAAGAAAATACTGCGTAACTAAAAATTATCCCACATACGACGGTTTCCAAAAATAACTTCAAAACATAAGTTTCATGTCTAGACAGTAGTCTATACTCTTATTCATCAGACAATTAGGTCAACTTGACGAATACTCTAAGGTTTTGATTAATCCTCAAGCTAGTGGCATAAATAATATTGTTCAAAGGAGGTGCTGTGTTGTAGGAAAATGTTCAGAGCGTGTTAGCTACCACTTACCTACTTAAATTTAAGGCTAATAATTATCCTCATCACGTATTGATTGAGCTGAGTAAGGCTCCAATGTCAACTAGCTAAGACCCTTTTGACACTGGGATTTTTTAGTATCGATACAGTCGACATTGTCAGCTGTTAAACGCGCATTTATATCGCTAAAAAAACCAGTGTTTTGGCCTTAACTCTCAACATGTTGCAAATGTTTATTGGTTTTCAGCGAAAGTCCAAATTATAGTGAAAAATGTGGCAACATATGGGGCAGAAAAGTTCTCGAGTGGCGACCACGGGCCGGAAGACGTAGCGTGGGCAGGCCTTCCACTAGGTGGACGGGCAATCTGGTGAAGGTTGCGGGAAGAGCCTGGATGCGGGCAGCGCAGGACCGGTCCTTATGGAAATCTTTGGGGGAGGCCTTTGTGTCATTTGGCTGAAACGAACGATAAGGGACAAAGCCCTATGACGGGTAAAGTCCTATTGAGTAAAACAAATACACTCACGTTTGTTGTCGAGCCGCGACTCGGTGGCGGCGTGTTTCAGCCCGCCTTGATTCATCTCACTGATGCTGCACGAAGTCAACAACCATCTTAGCTCGGCTGTAACAAACAAAAATAGGCTTAGATTTAATGCTAAATGTACTTATTAACAAGGGCTTAGGGCTCCTTCATTCTAGTCGTTTTAGGACCGCACACGGAAATTTTTATGACAACTGCGTTGGAATAAATATGTCGTTACGTTACCAACACATAATGCATGGTCATGCAATCGTACGACTGATGTCCTGCTCAAAACTTCTAATTTGAGAGACCTCTTAAAGTTTAGACAATCTTAAATTTACCATAAAGTCCACTGATGGGTGAAAACCTCCCTTTACACCCTTATACAGTGTGTCCGGGCTTGTAGTGATCAAACTTTAATGGAGTAATCTATGGACAATTTTATCGATGAAAATACTTCAAATTTGGGGCTTGACCCATTCGTCGCAAAATTACGAGGATTTAAGTTTTTAATTTTTAGTTTTCACCTCTTCCTTCAAAAACAAGTGAAAACGTGGGTAACTTAACATTAATAAGCGAATATTTGATATCATGTGATAGTCAATAAAATTATCTATTAGTAGAAGTAGAAAACGAACACAAGTTTCATACATTTTATGGAAGTAAGAATGGATTGAATTAGAAAAAGACATGATTTTTTTCACTTCTTTTTCAGTTATTTTCCCACACAAGAAAAACCAGGTCGTTAAAGTATGTTTTATTTGCATTGTATTATTAGTATTTGAGCTATTCTACAAAACGAATGTAAATTTATTAGTCTACGTCTATTATTTTCGACGTAATTGTTGAACAAAGATACCCCTTCCCAGCCGGTTCCATAGCGCTGCTAACATGCGAAAATGCACTGCCTGAAAGAATCACACAACCTATTCCGACGCGCTATGGAACCGGCTGGGAAGGGGTATCTTTGATCAACAATTACGTCAAATTTAATAGACGTAGACTAATAAATTTACATTCGTTTTGTAGAATAGCTCAAATACTAATAATACAATGCAAATAAAACATACCTTAACGACCTGGTTTTTCTTGTGTTGGAAAATAACTGAAAAAGAAGTGAAAAAAATCATGTCTTTTTCTAATTCAATCCATTCTTACTTCCATAAAATGTATGAAACTTGTGTCCGTTTTCTACTTCTACTAATAGATAATTTTATTGACTATCGCATGATATCAAATATTCGCTTATTAATGTTAAGTTACCCACGTTTTCACTTGTTTTTGAAGGAAGAGGTGAAAACTAAAAATTAAAAACTTAAATCCTCGTAATTTTGCGACGAATGGGTCAAGCCCCAAACTTGAAGTATTTTCATCGATAAAATTGTCCATAGATTACGCCATTAAAGTTTGATCACTACAAGCCCGGACACACTGTATAACACTACAGCAAGCAAGTTTGTCTCGCTGTAACTAGGTCATGTCTGTCCTTTGGGTCCTATCAATGTTACATGTTTCAATTATCTGTAGTCGCTATTCAACAACCTTTACTTGATAACTTAAAAAGCTTTCGTTGGGCAAAAGAGACGCAAAATTTACATTTATTTCTGCTGGAAAAATGCGAATGGAAACTAAAAATGCGACGTCTATGGAGCTGAGTGTGAAACCAGCCTTAGATGACATCTGCTCGTGACGTCGCAGCTCCCAAACCAATGGACCGATTTGAACGCTGTTCATAATCGGTAGATCACAATATTTATCAGTAATCGAAACATTCACTGAAATAATAAAACTGATAAACACACAATACCATATTTGATTAAGGCTATACAAACATTTGTTTAACCGATTCAAACGATGTTGAGTATTCGATAAAACGCTCGTAAACATTTTCCCTGAGTTCTTATCGAGTTTAGTGTTAATTACAGGTGCCTAAATGGTTTTATTGCATGTAGAGATTTGGATCTCTATTTTATTATTTTGGGGTCTTGTGCATTAAGCAATAGTCATTGTTTTAGGCTGGTTTTAGGGTCACGCGGACCGTCCGGTGCGGACCCGCTCCGCACGGACAATCTGTATGAAGTATGAACTTCTAGGGAGCGTTTTACACTCGCGAGCAAAAGTATGGAATCACTTACATGAAGTTGTTTCCACGCGATCTTGTGTACTAACGAATTTGTTAGTAACAAAAAAAGTAGCACCATTTTAAAGATTAAATTTTTAACTTTAAATTGATACCAAATTCATTTAAATCACACCGGTATTTAAAAAGATATCCCGGCTGATGTGAAGCAGTAAGAAAAAAGACATGTACCAACTGTTTGATACGTCGCGAGTTGCGCCCTATTTACCCCGTATAAAAGCACGTGTTTTCGGATTTTTGCTTTCACACGTTGATCCATACACATCTCGGCTTCTTTTGGCACTTTACCTGGGATTCTACACCTACAGAAGCAGCACAAATCGTTGCACTGTTGCAAGAAGGGCTCAGCCAGCGGGCTGTCGCACGTCAGCTCCACATAAGCCAGTCCTGGGTTTCGAAAGTTTTAAGACGCTTTTGGGAGACTGGTGGCTTTATCCCGAGACCAAGTTCTGAACAGCGCCGTGCACTCTGTGCGTCCACGCGCACAGGGTGACACACGAACCAACCTGTGCGTTCGATTTGCGTAATACTTATTTAAAAAATGTTTCGAACAGAAGGTAATCAAGCCGTTAGCAATCTGGGTCGACAACGGGTACAAAGTTCTCCTCCTCTCCTTCTAATTGCCTTATCTTTTGAAGTTCATTATGGAAGCAATAAATGGTAGAGTATTGAGAATGGGTTTCCCGAAGCGAACTACCTTTTAGCACTGGAGAAAAGTCGTGAGTTACATAAGTTTTCCTATTCTGATCAAATTCTTTCGGCAGAGCAAACTGTCGAAGGACGCAAACAGTTCATCCTAACTTTCATTGACGGGTTTGTTTATTGAATGAGACATGTAGGTGCCATGTATGACATTGCCGGCCACTACCGACTACTGCAATGCAGGTTACTCCGTGTAACTTATTTTGTTTACTTTGCCGTACACAGGTCAATATTTTTTGTTGCAAAGTAGCTCCTATTGCTATTACATAGTCATATTCTGTGATAAGGAGACTTATGCCCGTTTTCACCATTAATCCTTAATTTTTAAGTGACCTCTATGGTAACACGAATTTTGTTTCCATAAGGGTCACTTAAAAATAAGGGATTGATGGAGAAAACGGGCATTAGGGCCTTTGATACAGCCTCTAAGTTGTACTCTAAGCCTCCAAGGCAAACCTTTTTTTTTCAATATTCAATAATTTTAGGCAGATTTGCATTCTTCGGGTTGTGAGATCGTGATGCGAATTATGGTGTCCACTTCCAGTCCATTAGAGATTTAAAATTTATTAGTTTGTTACATTTTAGCGAAACAAAAGACATAAACCGCTCCATCACAGATTGTAAAATTGCAACGAAGTGCCAAAATTGGTAAGATTTGCTCATTTCAACTTACATTTTGGACAAAAACCTACAGCGAAAGAGTCTTCCTTATTATAAAAAATACTAACCTAAGTTTGGTAAGGACAGAGGATTTTTCAACTTCATCTTGGTTCTATGTCAATCGCATACACAATCACATTACATTTATCATACACAGCACGTAAACCACACACAAAAACCGTCCTTCAAATAAGTTCTTGGCTTTTTGTTTTAAAAATCGACGCGTGCGCACAATCCAGGTAGATATTTACTCTGAAGTATTTATCAATAAACGCACTATCTTCGGAGATATATTTTATCAATGTAAATAGGATAGGTTATACTTATCAGGGATAATCATTTCAGTTTCAATTTTGGTGCTGTCAATTTCTTGTAATCGTAATCTGAATTAAAATTGTGAGTAATGACTGGATTTTTACGACTTTATTAAAGTTAATATTATCTAAGATCATCATAAACATGTTTTTGGATACAAAAGATTATGTACAAGACTTACGGAGCCTAGAGTATACTTAAAGGTAACTTACTGTGTCTGTTCTGTGTATAGGCTACCATTTGCCTCTGGTAAAAGAGGGGGTAGGTGGACCTACGATCTGATGAAGGTCGCGGGAGGTGCCTGGATGCGGGCGACGCAAGACCGGTCTTTGTGGAAATCCTTGGGGGAGGCCTTTGTCCAGCTGTGGACTTCATTCGCCAGAAACGAACAAAAAGAGGGGGACGTGCTCCTGAAGTGGAGACTAAATAATTAATATGACTATATAAAAAGCCTTTAAAATATACGGCCTCTACTAAGCCTAAACATATCCTCAATTTTTTTCTAATTCAAAATTTTATGAAAAATATTAGACCCAAAACCATACAGTGAAAATCAAGCTACATACAATTACTGTCGAATAATTAGACAATAATCAGTTTAAACATGGGATTTCTAGCGCCTTACTCACCAGTCAAGGTGAATGAGGAATTTTATGACATCATGTTTAGATCATTTTTGTAGACGCAGTAGGTATCTGCGTTGTAGGTTTTGAGTCAAGTCTTTAACTTAGTTTACTAAGATCTTTTGGAGTTTTGAAAATTAATTGGGGATGATAGGGGATTGGAATCTCACATATAGATTTCATCCCCATTATTTCTCAAGTAAAGGTATGAAAATGATATTTGTACTTTTAGCAAGTAAGTATAATTTTGTTTTAAAGTCTGTTCAACCAAACGCGAGATAGTCGCGGAATCATGCAGACACAAGTCAAACTGATAACCTTTTTTTTGAGTTAGAATAATAAAATGTACCTTATAAAATTATGTGTGTGTGTGTTACGCGTGATTAAAGGATTAAGATTTTCTGTGGCAGACCGAAATGAACATAGTTCAAACTTGGAGAAAATATCGGAATAATGTGTGTTACTGTATGCAAAAAATGATTTTACTATCTATCTACATGGGTTTGTTCCTTATAGCCTTCAGATTTACTTTCTTCCTTTCAATGTTTATTTAGGTACATCTTTTCTCATCTATCTCACTCGTATTAGCATTCTTCGACATAGAAGCATATACTTAATCGAAAGAGTTTCACAAAGTAGGGCTTCCACCTGCCCTATTACATAGTATACTTTAATACTTTGTATGTAACAAGCATTTTGTACCTGAGTCATGGCCGTTTACATTATTTAAGTATGTTTATCCGCTCGAGTCGCCGTAGTACAGTCGACCGCCCTTCAGGATAAACAATGTTGTCGCAAAATCGCATCTATTACAAAAGGTATAAGGGTGTTTAGTTTTATGTACAGTCGTCCATAAAGTGCTTAGTTTGGGGCTAGGTAATTGGTGTCACAGCAGGGGCAGTGTCATGTTGTAATTATGCAGGGTCTGCTTGGCAAGGTGGTTTGTAATACCTACTACGACTGTATCATCATTTCATCCTCAGTCTCTACAGGTAGTAAGGGTATCACATTTTTAGGGTTCCGTACCTCAAAAGGAAAACACGGAACCCTTATAGGATCACTTTGTTGTCCGTCTGTCCGTCCGTTCGTCTGTCTGTCAAGACCCTTTTTCTCAGGAACGCGTGGAGGTATGAAGCTGAAATTTATATCAATTACTCAGGTCTACTGTCCCTTGAAGCTGTGAAAAAATCAAACTTCTAAGCCAACGCAATCAAAATATTACAGCCGTTTATGCCGCAAATTTTCGACACTTGCAAGGGAATCAAAACCTACAGGGTGCTTCCCGTGAACTCAGAATCTTGAAATTTGGTACGAAGCAACGTCTTAGCATAGATAAATGAAAAATTACGAAAACCATAAATTTTTAGTTACATCACATAATATATATTTTTTTAATAATTTTAAACTTACTACCCATTTCCTCATAAACGCGTAGAGGTATTAAATTGAAATTCATACCAAATACTCAGGTCTATAATACCTTTAAGCTGTAACAAAATCAAACTTCTATGTCAAAGCAATCAAAAGAAACAGCAATTTAAGCTGCATATTTTGAAACTCGCAAGTACTCGCAAGGGAATCAAAACCTAAAGGGTACTTCCAGTCTACCTAGAATCTTGAAATTTGGCATGAAGCAACGTTTTATAGCACACATAAAGGAAAAATTCCGAAAACCTTAAATTTTTAGTTACATTACAAAATATATATTTTTTAATAAATATAAACTTATTACTTTTTTCCTCATGAACGCGTAGAGCTATCAAGTTGAAATTCATATCAAATACTTAGATCTAATTGCCTTTAACCCATGAAAAAAAAACATAGTTATGACTCGATTGTCGTAATGAACGAACTTTGTAAACCTTGCAGGTTTGTACGGAACCCTCGGTGCGCGAGTCCAACTCGCACTTGGCCGGTTTTTTTTTCAAACAGATCTAACGCATAACTGAGGCAGTGCCTGAGGTATGGCAGCGACAAGGGACTTAAAGGGAGGGTGTTTTTGTGACGTCAATCGTCAGCGAGACCTCAGAAGTGCTTCATTTGTATGCTCCTAATGCAGCTGTAGCTCCAAAACAGTTACACTATCTCCCTCTATACCCCCTTTGACTTTGAAATAGTGAGTGAGTTTCTTGCGCTGCTTCTTCTCAGCACTGGCCCATTTATTGTCCCGAAGCAGTGGTAGGGTTAATACTGGGAAGTGTAAGTGCTTTTTAATAGCCTATTTGCAAAAATATTTAATATAAAGTTAAATATAAAGTTTTATGAGTTTTTATCTTTCTTTTCAAGAATTTTTTGATCGACCCTTGTAGTAGGTTTTATAGTCGAATGTTCCTGAACGTAGTGGTGAGGATTGGGAGTCTATTTGCTTTCAATAGTGTTTCACAGACAGCTCTATCATCAGGCATGATGGAATACCAAGTTTTTTATGCAAGTAAAGTAAATCCTGTTATTTATACTCTGCGTGGAATTACCTTAAGTGCACATTAATCATTTTAATCAGCTTATGGCACGTGAGTGAGATAATTTTAATTCAATCTAGTTTTGCAATATAACATTAACTTCGTTAAGATATTGCTAATATACATAACCATAATAACTATCATCTGTTGTTTTGCGTTTACTTATCAGGTAATTGTATATTTATTAAAATTATATTAATATACGGTCATCACGCGATATGCGTACATAATAATAAGTGCCTATTCTATTATCTTATTATTTTATACAACATAAGCATAATAATTATTTTTCCTTGTATGAGTGTCTTTGACCAGATTATGAATTGACGACTATAAAGAATCTGAACTGCTGGTATAAACAAGTTCTTTAGTTGAGTCTAGGACTTAATAAGTGTAGTGTAGAAACCCCTTTACCCCTCCAGTGTGGAGTATAGACTAGCGAAAGAATACTGGCAGAAGCTGGATGCGACTATCCAAAAACATGGTAAAATAAATGGTGCGTAACATAAATACCCCAAGATTCTTTGGCCAGCAGTGGATTGCAATTGATTGTGATGATGATGCGATTGCTACATTAGCTGATAATGATGATGAATGTCTGAACCCGATGGACAGATGATTAGAGGTCCATTTTACTCGCTCAAGTGCGTACATTCTAGCTAGAGTCACCATACCAAAATAAAAATGCATTTAAAAAGGACAATGAGTAACTCTACTTGGATAATGTTTCATTTAATTTATTACGCTTCAAAGTTAGGTGTGGGCAAATCGATTGCTGGTCGCCAAAATTTATCAAAATTATAAGGAATAGACCTTGTTTTCGCTTTAAAAACAGTATATGCGTGTGGTTTAGAAAAAATACTGCTGTATTTTCCCCAATTAGCTTGAGATACAATAAAGAACTAACTAGACAAGGAAACTCGCTGCGGACGACCTTAATCCAAGTGAGGACATACAAGTCTGATATAATTCGCAATAAACTAGAAAAATAATGCACACAGTTTATTTTTAACAGGTCTCCAATTACTTGGATTACGCTGTAACACTGTTAAGGCAGTTATGTAAGCGATTCGCCCTGCTTCTTTCGATTGTTTATGGAATTACTCAATTTAGAGCACTGTCGTGGATCGGCTAGTGAAACTAATCCATACTTACTACTAATAATTTAAAGATGAAGAGTTTGTTTATTTAAACGCGTTAATCTAAGGAACCCCTGAAGTCCAGATCGGATTTGAATAATTATTTTTGTGTTGGATAGGCCATTTATTGAGAAAGGCTTTAGGCTATAACATCACCCTACAGCCAATAGCGGCGGAGCAGTAACTAAATAAAAATGTTGCAAAAACGGGAAATATTATTCAAATTATTTTCACGCTTACGAAGTTGCGGACACAGCTAGTCAACTATTTCATCTACAACAAGGAAGCTCTTGGCCTGCATCTCACCTGATGCAAAGTGATGATCAGGCAGAAGGTGGCAGCGAGCTTCACCCGGAATCCTCAACCACAGAGGAACTGGATATCCTTACCTCTAACTGTCAGAACACAACAATGCTCTAGCTGTTAATGAAACAGATAACTATGTATTGTAGCTAAGTATTGATTTGCCATCAGGCTCTCAAAAGTTTATGTGATAGGTACTTTTGTTGGTAAATTAGACAGAATCGTGTTCCTGAGGTGAAGACTAGCAATTATCTACCTATCTAATGATGATGATGTCACAGAAATGTAATCCCTACTAATATTATAAATGCGAGAGTACTGTCTGTCTTTCACGCTTAAAAATTTGGCATAGAGCTAGTTTGATTTCCGGGGAAGATCATAGGATAGTTTATAT